CAACCTCCCCATGCCTCCCCCCTCCCCCCTACAAACAGGTGTTATCATATATCAGCTGGTGGTAAAAGGTGTTGTGAACACACATCACACAGCTCTCTGCACTCTTCTCAAACATGACAACCTCCCCCTGCCTCCCCCCTCCCCCTACACAGAGGTGTTATCATATATCAGCTGGTGGTAAAAGGGTGTTGTGAACCCACATCACACAGCTCTCTCCACTCTTCTCAAACATGACAACCTCCCCCCTGCCACCTCCTCCCTCCCCCCTACACACAGGTGTTATCATATATCAGCTGGTGGTAAAAGGGCGTTGTAAACCCACATCACACAGCTCTCTGCCATCTTCTCAAACATGACAACCTCCCCCCTGCCACCTCCCCCCTACACACAGATGTAATCATAATTCAGCTGGTGGTAAAAGGGTGTTTTGAACCCACATCACACAGCTCTCTACACTCTTCTGAAACATGACAACCTCCCAAAGCCACATCCCCCAACACACAGGTGTTATCATATATCAGCTGGTGGTAAAAGGGTGTTCGTGAACCCACATCACACAGCTCTCTCCACTCTTCTCAAACATGACAACCTCCCCCTGCCTCTCCCCCCCCCCCCCCTACACAGATGTAATCATATTTCAGCTGGTGGTAAAAGGGTGTTGTGAACCCACATCACACAGCTCTCTGCAATCTTCACAAATATGACAACCTCACCCCTACACACAGGTGGTATCATATATCAGCTGGTGGTAAAAGGGTGTTGTGAACCCCATCACACAGCTCTCTGCACTCTTCTCAAACATGACAACCTCCCCCTGCCTCCCCCCTTCCCCCTACACACAAGTGTTATCATATATCAGCTGGTGGTAAAAGGGTGTTGTGAACCCACATCACACAGCTCTCTGCCATTTTCTCAAACATGACAACCTCCCCCTGCCACCTCCCCCCTACACACAGATGTAATCATATTTCAGCTGGTGGTAAAAGGGTGTTTTGAACCCACATCACACAGCTCTCTGCACTCTTCTCAACATGACAACCTCCCCCCTGCCACCTCCCCCCTACACACAGATGTAATCATATTTCAGCTGGTGGTAAAAGGGTGTTGTGAACCCACATCACACAGCTCTCTGCAATCTTCTCAAACATGACAACCTCCCCCCTACACACAGGTGGTATCATATATCAGCTGGTGGTAAAAGGGTGTTGTGAACCCACATCACACAGCTCTCTACACTCTTCTGAAACATGACAACCTCCCAAAGCCACATCCCCCAACACACAGGTGTTATCATATATCAGCTGGTGGTAAAAGGGTGTTGTGAACCCACATCACACAGCTCTCTCCACTCTTCTCAAACATGACAACCTCCCCCTGCCTCTCCCCCCCCCCCCCCCTACACAGATGTAATCATATTTCAGCTGGTGGTAAAAGGTGTTGTGAACCCACATCACACAGCTCTCTGCAATCTTCAAAATATGACAAGCTCACCCCTACACACAGGTGGTATCATATATCAGCTGGTGGTAAAAGGGTGTTGTGAACCCACATCACACAGCTCTCTCCACTCTTCTCAAACATGACAACCTCCCCCTGCCTCCCCCCTTCCCCCTACACACAAGTGTTATCATATATCAGCTGGTGGTAAAAGGGTGTTGTGAACCCACATCACACAGCTCTCTGCCATTTTCTCAAATATGACAACCTCCCCCCTGCCACCTCCCCCCTACACACAGATGTAATCATATTTCAGCTGGTGGTAAAAGGGTGTTTTGAACCCACATCACACAGCTCTCTGCACTCTTCTCATACATGACAACCTCCCCCCTGCCACCTCCCCCCTACACACAGATGTAATCATATTTCAGCTGGTGGTAAAAGGGTGTTGTGAACCCACATCACACAGCTCTCTGCAATCTTCTCAAACATGACAACCTCCCCCTGCCTCCCCCCTCCCCCCTACACAGAGGTGTTATCATATATCAGCTGGTGGTAAAAGGGTGTTTTGAACCCACATCACACAGCTCTATGCACTCTTTTCAAACATGACAACCTCCCCCTGCCTCCCCCCCCCCCCCTACACAGATGTTATCATATTTCAGCTGGTGGTAAAAGGTGTCGTGAACCCACATCACACAGCTCTCTGCAATCTTCTCAAACATGACAACCTCCCCCTGCCTCCCCCCTCCCCCCTACAAACAGGTGTTATCATATATCAGCTGGTGGTAAAAGGGTGTTGTGAACCCACATCACACAGCTCTCTGCAATCTTCTCAAACATGACAACCTCCCCCCTGCCACCTCCTCCCTCCCCCCTACACACAGGTGTTATCATATATCAGCTGGTGGTAAAAGGGCGTTGTAAACCCACATCACACAGCTCTCTGCCATCTTCTCAAACATGACAACCTCCCCCCCTGCCACCTCCCCCCTACACACAGATGTAATCATATTCAGCTGGTGGTAAAAGGGTGTTTTGAACCCACATCACACAGCTCTCTACACTCTTCTGAAACATGACAACCTCCCAAAGCCACATCCCCCAACACACAGGTGTTATCATATATCAGCTGGTGGTAAAAGGGTGTTGTGAACCCACATCACACAGCTCTCTGCCATTTTCTCAAACATGACAACCTTCCCCCTGCCACCTCCCCCCTACACACAGATGTAATCATATTTCAGCTGGTGGTAAAAGGGTGTTGTGAACCCACATCACACAGCTCTCTGCAATCATCTCAAACATGACAAGCTCCCCCCTGCCACCTCCCCCCTCCCCCCTACACACAGGTGTTATCATATATCAGCTGGTGGTAAAAGGGTGTTGTAAACCCACATCACACAGCTCTCTGCCATCTTCTCAAACATGACAACCTCCCCCCTGCCACCTCCCCCCTACACAGATGTAATCATATTTCAGCTGGTGGTAAAAGGGTGTTGTGAACCCACATCACACAGCTCTCTGCAATCTTCTCAAATATGACAACCTCACCCCTACACACAGGTGGTATCATATATCAGCTGGTGGTAAAAGGGTGTTGTGAACCCCATCACACAGCTCTCTGCACTCTTCTCAAACATGACAACCTCCCCCTGCCTCCCCCCTTCCCCCTACACACAAGTGTTATCATATATCAGCTGGTGGTAAAAGGGTGTTGTGAACCCACATCACACAGCTCTCTGCCATTTTCTCAAACATGACAACCTCCCCCCCCCCCCCCCCCCCCCTGCCACCTCCCCCTACACACAGATGTAATCATATTTCAGCTGGTGGTAAAAGGGTGTTTTGAACCCACATCACACAGCTCTCTGCACTCTTCTCATACATGACAACCTCCCCCTGCCTCCCCCCTTCCCCTTACACACAGGTCTTATTATATATCAGCTGGTGGTAAAAGGGTGTTGTAAACCCACATCACACAGCTCTCTGCCATCTTCTCAAACATGACAACCTCCCCCTGCCACCTCCCCCCTACACACAGATGTAATCATATTTCAGCTGGTGGTAAAAGGGTGTTGTGAACCCACATCACACAGCTCCCTGCAATCTTCTCAAATATGACAACCTCCCCCCTACACACAGGTGGTATCATATATCATCTGGTGGTAAAAGGGTGTTGTGAACCCACATCACACAGCTCTCTACACTCTTCTGAAACATGACAACCTCCCAAAGCCACATCCCCCAACACACAGGTGTTATCATATATCAGCTGGTGGTAAAAGGGTGTTGTGAACCCACATCACACAGCTCTCTCCACTCTTCTCAAACATGACAACCTCCCCCTGCCTCCCCCCCCCCCCTACACAGATGTAATCATATTTCAGCTGGTGGTAAAAGGGTGTTGTGAACCCACATCAAACAGCTCTCTGCAATCTTCACAAACATGACAACCTCACCCCTACACACAGGTGGTATCATATATCAGCTGGTGGTAAAAGGGTGTTGTGAACCCCATCACACAGCTCTCTGCACTCTTCTCAAACATGACAACCTCCCCCTGCCTCCCCCCTTCCCCCTACACACAAGTGTTATCATATATCAGCTGGTGGTAAAAGGGTGTTGTGAACCACATCACACAGCTCTCTGCACTCTTCTCAAACATGACAACCTCCCCCTGACTCCCCCCTCCCCCCTACACACAGGTGTTATCATATATCAGCTGGTGGTAAAAGGGTGTTGTGAACCCACATCACACAGCTCTCTGCACTCTTCTCAAACATGACAACCTCCCCCTGCCACCTCCCCCCCCCCCCCTACACACAGGTGTTATCATATATCAGCTGGTGGTAAAAGGGTATTGTGAACCCACATCACACAGCTCTCTGCACTCTTCTCAAACATGACAACCTCCCCCTGCCACCTCCCCCCCCCCCCCCCTACACACAGATGTTATTATATTTTAGCTGGTGGTTAAAGGGTGTTGTGAACCCACATCACTAAGCTCTCTACGCTCTTCTCAAACATGCAGGGGTGATAGTGAGCACTAAAAAAAAATAGGTTTTTTGTTTTCCCCTCATCCACGCCCCCCTTGAGTAAAAATAAAAAAAGAGGATTCGCGGTGAAAAAATGGCATACAACAACATTCCCCCCTTTTCGAGTAAGAAAATTGGGACAAAATTGGGAAAAAAATAGGGCAAAACATGGAAGAATAGAGAAAATAAGAGGGAAATCGGGAAAATCAGGATAACATAGGGAAGAAAGAAAAAATTGGTAAAAAAAAAAAAAAAAAAAAATCTGGAAGAAAGAAAAAAATTGGGAGAAAAGCAGGGAAAAATATTTAAAAATCGGGAAACCGATTTAAGTCGGGTTTTTATCAGGCCTGTGATGTGGATTTCATGAAAAGTCTAATTGAATTTTCGCTTTTGAATACCGGTATATTTTATTTTAAGGCTACAAATGGCTCTCCATAATTTTTAAGTCCAACTTAGAGTCAAGTTCGACTAAGGATCTTTGTGAAACACCCCCTGGTGTACAGTATATAACATTGCAAAACTCACCCGATCCCTGCCACATCAGAAATCATATTTCCAAAGGCTGCAGCTGTATATACATAAAGTGAGAAAAGAATTAAATCACTTCTTCATATCAAACAATCATTGATGTAATAATAATCCAACTGGATTGTCTAGCTATTAACATATTCATACAAAATTATGTAAAGCACAATGACAAATATTATCCATAAATGTAAGCTTCTCTTTTCTGAGACTATATACTTATTGAGAAGGGGAGGCATGAAGGCTCAGTGGTAGAGCAGTGCATGGTCTCGTAACCAGGAGGACCCAAATTTGAAACCAAGTCGATGTGCTATACTGCCCTTTTGTAAGGCATTAATCCAGCGGAGAGAACTGAAAGCCGTCGGTCCCCTGGTTGCTTACTTAAAAGCATGTTTTCTGAGTATACAGGTTGTAAATAACCATCACTATCATATTAAAAGAAAGTACAACATGTTATCTATACTAAGGATTGTAGAAATGTAGGCCTATGAAGGGTTATGTTACTACCGGTAAATGGTGTATACCGAGAGAACACTACTTACAGGCAAATTTTAAACCAAGAAACTGAAAAGTCTACAAGTGTCTACAAGTATCTAATTTGAAAGAAAATCTGTATCAGGAGCGAGATCAAATGAATTTCAACTAAGAGACTATGTACACTGTATGCTCTACCGGTAATTCATCCACAAAGGCTCTATAATATAGCTGCAAGAGACTTAATAGACTGGTATTTAAGTGTCAAAATTACAGTCTGTGCCTGCAGACTAAAATATCCTTGTGTACAAATGAAGTAAGAAACACTTACCAGCCATTGTAGATATACTCAGTGCACCTCCTATCGTCACATCAATGTAATCACCCTACAGTAATACAAATATACGATTTGCTGGATTTATTTAATTAATACAGGTTCAATGCACTTCACTCCATATAAAGTGAGGATGTCACATATATGCAGAAATACAGCACTCACCAGTCACCAGTAATAATGCCAGAGAGAATGAGTCGCAAATTACATGCACATGTAGTAGTACCAAGGTAGTGGTCCCTGAAATGGTAAGTCCTTGGTTTAACATTGGATGAAGAGGGGTCTAAAAAGTGAGAGACCTCTATAATCAGGATAACCGTTAAATCTGTTATTTCCCTAACATGAAAATATTACAAGACTCTACATGTATGTCGAGACCCTGACCTTTATGTAGGAAAATAAAAGAACTTTCTGAATTTTATTGTATCAAGTTACACTTTTTAGTTGATTTCATGCAAACAAGTTATATTTACACTAAGATTGGTCCCCTTCAAGAGAGAGAGAGAGAGAGAGATAGACAGACAGATAGAGAGAGAGAGAGAGTTAGAGAGAGGGAGAGAGGGGGAGAGAGAGAGAGGGGGGATGTATGACTTACTGCAATGATCATGATGGCATTGTCAAAGAATCCAAATCCAATAAATGGCAGGGCATTGCTGAAGGCAACTAAAATAGAAACAAATAGAAAGAAATTAATGTAGGTACTTAAAAATTACTTTAAAGGGATCCTGTAACTTTGTCTCAGATTCTGAAACAAAATCCTGAATTTAGCTCATGCTGCATTCATAATTATAAACCTTTAGGTCAGTCAGTAACCCTGTGACTTTTACAAGCCGATTGTCTGTCTGATTATCAAGGTATTTATGATTGGAATTACAAATCATAACACTACAGTCTATTGGGAAAAACGAGTATGGTAAAATCGGTCACTCAAAGATTCTTACTTTTTTGAGGCACTTCTTCAATATCACATTATATCACAGACACTGATAACATGTAGGGTCGTGCATCTCAGATTTAACATTGTTAAACGATGCCTTTAAGAAGCTCTACCACAGGCCATCTTTAAAAAAATATTCTTACAAAAATTCAAAACACAATTAAATTCAACTTCTCAAATATCTAAATACCTCCCATCATGATTCTACCCTGGCTCCAACCCTAAAGAGGATCAGGTTATTTGCTGTTCTCAGATTTACTGGTGAAATACTGAGAACACATTTGTGGAGCTCAGGTACTATTAACACATGCAATTATTTTAAGATTCTAGCACAAATATAGCATGTCCATGTAATTTTGAGCCTACAAAATTTGATGTATAAGACCCCAACAGGCTTTGGCATTACATTTTGATATGATAACATTTAGGTGACAACCTGTAGTTTCTATGTCAAGATTGGGTTAAGGCCTAGCATAATTAGTTACCTGTATATATATATATATATATATATATATATATATATATATATATGCCCCTTTAGCTATTCAACACAGATATATATCGGTAGTACATGTTTGTCACTCGTGAAAGAATGCGAATCATATTTTATGTAGTGGTCACATTTTTTTTCTCAATATTTTTGCAACTTTCAATAGAACAATAAAACACATACGATACTTACAACAAAATATATGACAAACAACTGCAAAATAAAATGATGCAGGAATACAAATCAAGTCCATAAAGAAGAAAAAAACACTTAAACCAAATATTTAATCACAAAGAAATTAGGGTTCAGAATAAATGAATAAATGAATACCTGTACCCCAACCCCCACATATACAAGGACATTTCCCACACTGAATAGCAGTGAGAAGAGAAGAGAGAAAAGAGAGAAGTGAGGAAAGAGAGAAGAGAGAAGCTGCATCTGCTGTTATTCTTCAATTAAAAAAAAAAAAATAATAATAATAACATCGAGATGATGTAATAATTTTGATGCTATGATACAGGCTCAGTCAGAGAGTGTAATACTCACCTAGTCTTAACTGCTGCCGAGTTGGATTGGGTACACCTGCTGCCTCTGGAAGATCTGTATCTGCAATAGCAATGGAAAGCAAGATGCAAAATAATTAATAAAACAAATTCCTATGCTTGATATGATAACCTTAGAAAAACTGACTTTTATGTCAGTTGCTGCATATACCGATCTGACATAGAATTTTGAGATCAGGATATCTCCAGAATTCTTTGACAATTAATTTTCTAGTTGCACCATGTGTACCGTAGTCAAAAAAATTGCCGTTCATTTGGTAGTAATTGAAGTCAAAAATTTGTTGTGAAATATAAGAAAAAATGGATAGAATATATCACATTTCCTAATAATTTTAAAATCTCTGCGAACTTTGGTCACCCCGTCATACATTATATGGTTTAGCGAGGGGAGGTTATGCAATGACGTTTAGGTGTGACAGCTTCAAGAAAATGGAGAGATGAGCTGAAAGTAAGTCCTTACATTTTGACGTCTTACAATTATTCTCATATTTGACTCATACATAATAGACCCTACATCATCATGTAAAACTATGGGAAAAATTTTCACCCAATTCCAGCGAAAATCACTAGACCTATAGACCTAGTTAATCCCCCACCTTTGCACATGCAGCAAGGGTCACCTGCAGTCATGTAGGAGAAAAGTTGACAAATTAAAGAATTCCCAATTGAGACTCGAGTCTAGATGGTTATTCCTGTCAGGCTCTGTTCTCCCTACTCCGGGTCGGAATTAAGTACCGCTTTCGCGTTCCCAAAATCTCTGGTAACCGTAAAGCCAAGGCAAGGGGTATTTTTCATGGCCCGTAATCATGGTAAAATGGACACAAAAATCCAGCCCATATTGACTTTACACACCGAATGTGTATGGGGTGCTTTCAAAGGTAGGGACGAACATGCATAATACGCTTTCCCTAAATAACTAAATAACACTGAGTGGGGGGGGGGGGGCGGGACCGAGTCTCCATGCCCTCACACATCACAGCTCATACTCGAAATCACAAAGACAAGTTACACGCAAGATTTCATTCAAGTGGCAACACCGACTTACCTAGATTAGTTTCAGTACTGGTTTCTACTTTCTTTACATTTTGATACTTCAATAATTCAGCTAAAAGTGTTTCCCTCTCCAGGCTCCTCAAATTCGAGATAAACTCTTGAGATCTTTTGGGCAGATCTAGCCTCCTATTCCGAAGCCGAGTTGAATGTGTGAACTGAAAACGTTTATGAACATTCAAGCCCGCGACTGGATTCACAAATAGACTCTGTTTTTCACTCAATACATTCCATACGCTGTGTTTTCTCAATCCGGTAACTGTAAAATGTCCAGAAAGACAGTGGATGTGGCATTTTAATACTGATTTACACGTAACATTTCCAATCCTGCCTGCCATACTCAGGATAGGCCTACTTGTTACTGCCATGGGCGCTGCATTTTTACATTATTGATAATGTGCGATGTTTGACGAGTGATGGCGCTGTGTGTATGATCGAATCTCTTTGTTTTCTCATCGGATATCACTATCTTCTCTGTTTAGTTCTGTAAATCTTTCTCCTCTTTCTTCTTTTCCCCTTTTTCCTCGTCTTCCTCCTCATCCTCCTTCTTCTCCTCCTCCTCCTCGTTCTTCTTCTTCTTCTTCTTTTTTTCTTCTTTTTCTTTGAACTTCTTTGAACTTCTACTACTACTACTCCTCCTCCTCCACCTCCTCGATCCTCCTCCTCCTCCTTACTCTCTCTCTCTAAAAAAGAGTGAATTTTCACTCTATCTTCACTTTCTTGGGAGTGACGTCCGTGATCACTTGTTTAGGAGTGAAGATCGATTGATTTTAGAGTGCTCTCTAAGAAGAAAAGAATGAATGTTCACTTTATTTTCATTACATTTTCATTCTCCAGAGGAGTGACGTCCATGCATGATCACTCGATTTTTTTTAAGATAGATATCCACCACCCCCTTTTTTTTTTTTCCTCGACCCTCTTCCTTTTTTCCTTTTTTCCTTCTTCCTTTTCTTCTTTTCCTTTTAATGATGAGAGGAAAAGAGGATACATATTAGATGGAACAAAGGAGTACGTGTCAAAGTACAAAGGGTAGTTCTCAAAGTTGAAAATGGGGCACTTCTTACAAAGAGGCACTCACCAGGGATGAAAAAAGGGTACTTATGAGAATGGGAAACGTGCATTTGTCGACGGAAAAGGGGAACCCATTATATTTTAATAGGGGGATTAATAATAGGATAAAATTAGAGGCATTTATGAAAAGGGGAAAGGTCTTTTATTGAATGAAAGGAGAACGTATCATTGTTAAAACGTCAAAGCTGTCCAGTCACACAATTCGCCACTTCAACGCCACTGCACTGTCGAAGACTAGCATAAATGCATTTTATGCACGGAGCGCGCGACGCGACTACACATAAAGTACATGCACACACTATATCGGTCGACCGTAGAGCTGAGCTGAACAAACTAACTTTCCATTGAAGAGAGGGTAAGTTAGTATTTATATGTGTAATTAGGATTTAAGACATATATTAACGTTAATAAATATGACTAGAATCTTAATGTTACTGTAGCACCAGTGTTGCATTCAATAAAGATAAACTAGTTTATGCTACATTTAGTATTATTAGGCCTAGATCTATGCCCAGGCCCAGTGCAGTCGCAATCGAGTAGTCAACGTGTACGTGGCCACTTGTGCTGCCGTGGCTGCCGCCGTGCGCTGCTGGTACTTTCTTCTTCTTTGCTTGGCTCCCTCCAGTTTGGAGAACTGCATGCAGTTGGTGCATGTTGCAGGTGTTGGTAGTAGTAGTAGATCTAGTAGGCCTACTCATAGACCTATAGATCTAGTATACAAAGAATTGGTTAGTTTACAGGGACATCACATATGATAGTGGAACGTTGAACGTGGAGGTCAAGTGCGAAACTGTGAGAGATTGTGAAGTAGGCCTAGACGTCTAGTCTATATCGCGCGCCCAGTATTCGGTCACTCAAGCCATCACTCATATTTGAAATTAAATTTGTAGTATTGTACCTCCTTCATTTGGCAATCTACCCATCAAAAAGACAAGAAAATTAGTCCTCTAACAGGATTTCAAAGTTACTTAAACATAAAATGTAGAATGATGCTAAGCAAAATATTTCTGAGAGAAGAAGTCAAGAAGGAGCAGTTTTCTGCCCAGTATTCGGTCGTGCCTCCCACTCCAGCAAAGCGTATTATTAGAGAGTCCATGCTAATGCGTATTGACCTCTAGCACTGCACTATGTGTAATAGACAGCATTTGCTCACATTAATAGTCAATACACTTATAATACACAAATGCACACAATCATGCCGATGCAGCTGTCAGGGGCCCGTTCCACGAAGCCAACGACAAGACAGTCATAACTTTATCCGCCAACTACGGAGATGTCGCTGATCTTCCTATACCGTTTCACGAAGAGCCTAACTAGCTAAACATCTTGTGAATTGATAATATCGGCGAGATGAGGAGCCATGACATAGCCTTAGTCGCAATTCCAGCGGATTAAAAAAAAGTAGTTTTAGGAAAACTGCAATTATTTAAATGAATTTGGATTAAAAAATATTGAAAATGGTACCAGAAAATAAGAGATGTAATATACCCTAAAATTTGAGTAAGTTATACCAATTACCAGAATTACTTGTAAAATATAATAATGAGTGTTTCATTTCATGACCGGTGAATCAGTTTTGTTTTTTAGATTCTTTGTTTTTTGTTCAGCTGCCTGATTTGTGCAAGTTTCGTGGCTCATAAATTATTTTTGAGATTATTACAGCTGTTGAAACGGCTTTCTGACCGAATACTGAAAATTGACCGAATACGGGGCGTGCTACCCTATTACTATTTTATGGGGTCCAGACAACTCGCCACAAAGACAACCCGCCCCAAGACAACCCGCCACAATACCCTGGACATCCCGCCACAATACTCTGGACAACCCGCCACAATACCCTGGACAACTCGCCACAGCCTTTTCGGACAACTCGCCACACTTTTTCCTATCATGATTTCTAGATCTAAAATGAAATGAAATTGTCATTTTTCATGATTTTCGTGCTTTTATAAACACAGTCATTACAAAGAATAAAGAATAAAGTTGATTTCCCTAATTGTAACAATAATATATATTGAAATGAAATTGTCATTTTTCATGATTTTCGTGCTTTTATAAACAGTCATTAAAAAGAATAAAGTTGATTTCCCTTGTAACAATAATATACTTTTGATCTAGAGGTCTATAACAACTGCATTTTTCTGTCCCAGAATTTTGTTATGGTAGGATACTGGAAGCACTGGCGTACTGATGGGGGGGGGGGGGGGGGCAGTTGACCCGCGAAATAAAATTGGAATGTGGTTTATTTCTAGATTTTCTGGGTTAGTTTCGTCAGAGGCGGCATTCTTGGTTGGGGGGGGGACACTGTGCCCCCACTTTTCCAGGTTCCCCTAAAGTGCCCCCTTATCCTTTGTACATGTCCTTTTCCCTTCTGATAATTTTTAATGGTAGGAATTCATGGAAGGATAGGCCTACTGGAAGCACTGGCGTACTGATGGGGGAGGGGGCAGTTGACCCGCGAAATAAAATTGAAATTTTGTTTATTTCTAGATTTTCTGGGTTAGTTTCGCACTTTTGCCCACAGTCAAAGGCGGCATTCTTGGTTGGGGGGGGGGGGGCACTGTGCCTCCATTTTTTCAGGTTCCCCTAAAGTGCCCCCTTATCATTTTGTACATGTCCTTTTCCCTTCTGATAAGTGCCTACTTTTCTTTCTCAGATGTTTTAATTATAATGTTACTCATAATTACATAAAAGAACTTTTCAGTCTTTCTTCATTAGATTGTCTTTAATATTCATCATGTAATTTTTCAAATGGGACCTTATACTTTTAGCTCGCTTGCTCGAAAATCGATATTCAGTCCATCACACCAAATTGCGAAGTACGTTGCTTAAACAATATGTTGTTGATTCTTGATTCTAGTGATTCTTGTTGCAAGCGCAAGGAAAATCATCTTTATTCTTTAGAACAGCTCTCAAAATACTCACAATTTCCATGTTTCCTGTCATAACTGTGTTTATAAAAGCATGAAAATCATGAAAAATGACAATTTCATCTAAGATGAGGGATTTTAGATCTAGAAATCATGAGGGGAAAAAAGTGTGGCGAGTTGTCCGAAAAGGCTGTGGCGAGTTGTCCAGGGTATTGTGGCGGGTTGTCCAGGGTATTGTGGCGGGATGTCCAGGGTATTGTGGCGGGTTGTCTTTGTGGCGAGTTGTCCAGGATTCCTATTTTATTAGTAAGGCTCTAAACTCTAGTCTAAGCCTAACTAAGAATGTTGTTGGAATTGTAAGTCTAAGCCAAGGCAGTAAGGGGTTGATCCAGTCGAAAACAGAGGTGTGAGAGCAAAAGCCAAGAAGTAAGGTTAGTTTTGTGAAGCATTCACCCTTCGTTTTCGTATTAAAATAATGCGTCTCATAGCATCTTGGCCAGTGAGAGAAAAAATTGGTTCAGTCTATGTACATGTATATGATTTAAATAAATGATATCATTGGTTGTTCTGCTGAGACTACTTTTGGCTCTACTGAACGCCTTTATATGGAGAAGGGTGACAAATGTCAGTTTTTATTAAAGAATTCCCCATATCAGATGTTCGTTTGTGTCTCGCTGAGGAGGGGGGGGGGGGGTTAAAGAGCATTCAGTTTTGTCTACTCAGCACACCCACCCCCCTTGAGCAAAAAGAAAGAAAACAAATTGAGGGGGGGGGGTAACCCGACCCCCCCCTCCCCTCTCCGTACACGCCTGTGCATGCACATTAATTGTACATACTCCGTGGCAAAAAGGAAGTAAGCGAGGGAAAGGAAGGGCAATGACAAAAGAGAGGGGGGAGCCTTTGGCCCGGTTCAAATTCAGTTCTCTTTAAGTTATTAGACCCAGTACTGATGATCATAATTTTATCTACCATGTGATTGCCATGTGAACGCCACACCAAATAGCACCTCATTTTTGTTTATTGTTATAAAGAACTTATTGGCATGCACTCAGTAGATTTTCATCATGTGTTTGATCTTGTTATTGAAAACAAGATCAAACACGTCATCATAATCTACAGAGTGCAACCAAAAATTTCTTAACAACAATTGAAATTTCTTTCAGGAAGCCTAACAATAAAAGCTGTTTTTGATTCAAAGAGCATCTTAGAGACGATGAACAAAATAGAATAATAATACAATGTCGCTACGCGTGAGACCGTTCACTTCTATCTCTCCTCGCCACATAATCCGAACAAAAGAATCAACCAAGGGGAACTGCTAAACGAATTTATCATGAGTCCTTGAACAATTAATTAATACTGCTTGTCATAGTATTAGTGAGGAGCAGCAAAGGACGATTGTCGCTACAAGTCAGAAATCTTTGCTTGGATTGCTTTTCCCTCAAAATTACCATGAGATATCAAGCTACATAGAACTATGATCGACAAAAAAGATATTGTCTTGAAAACAGTCAGAAAACATTAGGAATAGGAATGTATACTTTCAAAGTTATGGCAGCTGTGTCAACAGTGCGAGTGCTTGTCGCAGCCTTAGACTGTCTTCACATTCACAGTTTGACTACTCTAACGTAGACCAGTCCAAAAAGTGAGTGAGAATACATTTAGGGTTGTACATGTAGTCATAAGAGGAGTATCTTTGTCTTTTAAATCTGTAAGATAATTGGACAATTTTTTTTTATCCATTATGCTAGAGATACTTTGAAATCCAGAATGGCAAACTATACTGTACTAGTGACTGGTGGAGCAGGCTACGTTGGCAGTCATGTAGTTGTTGAACTCCTCAATCAAGGCTACACACCTGTCATCATTGATAACTTCTCAAACAGTATTAAAGGTAAGAGCTCTCTCATTTTATCTGCGGTCATTTTCTTAACTGAATTCCTAAATTCAACCCTGATTTAAACACTATTATTTACCTGACCTTAACCCATGTATGGATCCAGCCGTTATGAAGGGGGGGGGGGGGGGCAACGTAGTGATCCAAGAGACACATCAGCACCATTCCGTACTTGAGCCAGCAAGGGGATATCTGTGGGGGGATGCTCCCCCCCCCACACCCACCCTCAGGTAAAAATGCAATTCTGTTTGACTCAATCTGCATGATTTTGTGCACAATTTTTGCATATTTTTAGTTGAAAATCCACTTATCCATTTCCAATATTTTGATATAATTTTTTTGTGAGAGAAGTGAAGTTTTGAACAATCTACAGACTTGAGATTTTTAGTTGGGGTGGACCATTGTTGTAACAAGTTGAGTCATTGACTAACTTGAATCTGGACTGGAGTAGACTGGAGTCACATTTTCTATGACTTGACTTTACTCGAGTCGGGATACTACATGTAAATGATTTGACTTGACTTTCACTTAACAATTTGACTTGACCTAAGTCGTAGCAACTTTATGTGAAATTGTCAACTCTGTGACATATCTTGCGAGCTCCTCTCCCATTTGCTCGGTACAGAAAATTTCATAAACTTTCATCTTCTTAGTTGTTGATGAAGGGATAGATTTGTTTCATACAGGGGTTGTAGAAAAATATATTTGCAATTGTTATATCATTTTAAGGTGAATGTATAAAACTGAAAACTTTCTTTAGGGAAACTATAAGCTTTTGCAGTTTTTTAGTACAGGGGAAATGAGAGTGGAGCTTGCCAAATTCTAAAATTCAAAGCTTTCTTATTTTTAATCAGTTTTTGCTCGAACTTTCACTGACCTGTTCCTCTCATTTTTCTGCTTAACTATTAAAACCAACTTAATATCATGGTGGTCTACTATCCACACGGTCTGATATTCATTTTTCTACTTACCATTTGGTCTAATGACTATTTAGGCTAATGATCATTTGGTCTAATCTCCAGCAAGTCGACTACACATTAGGTCTGTTGTTCATTTAGTCTAATAACCAGTTAGTCTAATTCCCATTTTGTCTACTCTCCATATGGTCTAATAATCATTTAACTATAAATGATAATCATCAAATGATTTTTAGACCATATAATAAGAACAAATTACTATTAGCCTAAATGGTTATTAGACCAAATGATAAGTAGACAAAATGATTATTAGACCATGTGGATAGTACGCAGGCTGGGTGTAGACCACTTTGCAATAGACCAATTGGGAAGTAGACCAAACAGCAATTCACTGAGTCAGTTTGGTGGTGTGATTGAAGTGTATGAGGGAGTTGAGCATCAAGCCTTGAAAGAGTGAATTCCTACACGGTAAGGTGTAGTAGGACTATGGTTTGTCTATTCAGGGGATGTTTCACAAAGATCTTAAGTTAAACTTATCTCTAAGTTGGATTTAAACATTATGGAAAGCCATTAGGATCTTTGAAAATATTTTGTAAAATTTTCTACTGTCGAGGAGATTTCATGTTCTTAATGTAGAATTTATGAAAAGTCTGAAATACTTGAGGTTTTGCTTTTGAATATATTTTATTCTAAGGCTACAAATGGCTCTCCACAATTGTTAAGTCCAACTTATTAATAGGATTTTTGTGAAACACTTCCTCTGTGTGAAAGGCACTGTCAAGCAGATCCTTTGTTCTGTGAAGTATGGGCAACATCTTTACATGATGAACAAATACCTGTACCCCTGATATATATTCTAACTGGTACCCTCATAGAGTGATTTACATGCTTTATGATTTTGTTTTGAGTAGGATTGTAATATAGACCTACCAGTAAGCTGTATAATTCTCAGTAACTCATTAAGTTATCAATTGAAGTGCTAAACTCCCTCTTTTTAGCATTTCTGGCTGTAGTCTTATTGTAGCTTTGGCTATCAGTATATTGTTCATATTCATTCATCCTTAGTCTAATGTTTGATATTATAGCTAGTAGGTGCTAAACTTCACCCCAAACAATGTACATGTCTATGTAAATACCTAAAGTACATTGTATATAACAAATATTAATAGGGCACTTCCTTAGGTTGGTGGACATGACCTAAATATTCAAATTTTATATTTCTCTTAACTAGCATTATTTTGGGTCCTTGATAACCTGTAAAATCCTGTGCAAACATGTCTTCAGTGGTTTACTTTTAAAAATGCAGGATCAAAATACACGCCTGTAGAGTTTCTATTCTCCCAAAGGTGCATTACAGAAAATAATAGAAGTTTAGATAGGTTTTGCATCTATTCAGATTTGTGATATATGTTACCTACGGTATACATGCATTTTAGATTGTGTGTATCCATATATCCAAATATATATCCAATACCTGAAACATCCAATACCTGAAACATCCAACATTTTCCAATGCATGGGCATTCATGTTGCCTGATATGTTTTGACATTTTATGTTGGAGAGCCTATATGTATACATTGTGATAACTAAATCTGATTTAGCTTCTTTTTTTTAAAGTAAGGAGCTAAAGATGTAACTAAATAGTATACCTCTCCAAATGTAACGTGAATAACCATGGAATTGTCAATAGCTTTTTACTTATGAATGGAAAAGTGGGTTGCTTTTTTACCATTTTAAAAAGTAGGTTTGGTTTGAAGATTATTACCCCCCCCCCCCCCCCCCCCCCCCGCCTGTTATGCTTCAATATGGTGTCTAGTGCGTTGACACAATTCCCACGCCCAAATTGGATATTGGGTTGAGTACCGGTACCAAAAAAATCTAACATAGTAATAATTGGGGTGGAGAATATATATGAAGGAGCTGGTATTGAAGAGCTGGCTTAGCATTTCAGAATTAATTCAAAGAAGTGCTTGAGTTAAGATACTTAGATATGTTTGCTTTTTAGGTGTGGTTCCACTTAAGTACTGTACATGTAGGTGTGCAGTGATCTGCGAATGAGGAATCAATACCTCTTTTCAGCCAGCTTCCATGTATTGACATTTCATTAATTCAGCTTCATTCAGGAGAAAGGTGCTGGAAGAAAAAATAATAGAATTTGAGCTAATTTCATTTTTTGAGAAACAATGCCACCATTCAAGGACAAGTTGAATATAAGTGTGAGAGTCTTAATAATTTCAGGGATAATCTCTTTGAAACAAGAATGACTTGATCCATCATGGCCAGCACTCATCTTGCTAACAAGGTTCTTCACAAGTTCAGGCACTAGTTCAGGTACCTCATGTTGTACTACTTGAACAAAAGATATCGACTCAGAAACCCGATTGTCTAGGAAGTCAACAAATGATCGATTAGAATTAGAAAACATTTCAGCCAGATCATGACCAATATCAGCAATTTTTCTATTGTCTTCTGTTATATTTCCTTCAAATCATATTTTTTTAGAAATTTGTTAATCTGGAATTAACAAGTTGTACCTGTTACATAGTACTACATTATTTTGAAAGTTGATTTTATTTTCCCTTTATTAAAAATGGATGTATTAACAACATAGTTTGAAGTCTCCTCGAGTGGTTGTGCAATTGTTCAGCTAACTTCGATATAGGAAATTATATTAGATCACTAATGCATCATTAGTGCATTGATGCATTGCTTTAGTACATGTAGGTTTTCATCACAGGGGCATGCCACGTGTACCAATCTAGCAAACACTTTAGTGATATGTTTACTCGCCATTTAGGAGGTAAATAATACAGCACCATCTGTTTCAATCCCTCTCTCATTCCAACTCTCTCTCTCTCTCTCTTATTGTTTGTCTCTACCTGTGAACTTTCTCTTCCAAAATAATCTTACATTTTTGTTTATGCCTCTCTCTCTCTCTCTCTCTCTCTATCTCTTCTTTGGGGGGTGGGGTGGGGAGGGTTGTGTGTGTGTGTGTGTAATTGGGTTTTTACAAACGTTAATCAATCAGATATGATCTGTGTCTGCTCCTCATTTATTCTCTTTCAAAATCACCCTGCATCTTTTATTCCAAGTTATGTGGGTTTTTTCTCTCTCTCCCTTGATTTTCTTTTTTTATTATTTTGCATGTTGGTCTGTCTTTGCCCTCTCTTCTATTCTCTTTCAAAGTCCCCCTCTCTCTCTCTCCCTCTCTCTCTCTCTCCATCTTTCTGTCTTTCTGTCTTTTGCTTTTGCTTTGTTTGAGCTCTTTTCTTCTATAATGCTGGTATAGAGGATGATGTTCTTTTCATATTTTGTGTTTCTTCTAGGATCGGGTAGCAAACCAGAGGTGTTACTAAGGATAGAGCGCATTACTGGAAAACAAGTCACATTCTATGAAGGAGATATACGAGACAAGCCAACTCTTCAAAATGTCTTTAAAAAGGTAAACTTTCACCAAATGCTCTTTTAGAAAGATCTCATTACATGTAGAGCTCAAATTGAGTTCTGGTTTGACTTTCTTTCCAACAAAGTTAATGAATTGTGAAGGCATATTTTTTCTCTCTCTATCTGTTTTTAGTCACATGCTTGAATTTGTTTAAAGGCTACATGTATTAGCAGACTGCAGTCAACATTTGGTAGAAAATTACCCAACTGTTGAGTTTCATTACACATACACTTTCAAATTTTACAATTTAAACGCCTTTTAACTCTCCCTTTTTTTCTTTTTCTTTTGTATTTAAATACATAATTTAAGTCACCCCCATAGACATGCAAGTTAAAAACATTAGTTGCACTTTTTTCTTCAATGTGTATATTATTCTCAGTAGCCTTGTGCACAGCTTTCCTAGGATTTTCACTAAAGACCAACATTGTCAATATTGTTTAAAATCTTTAAGTCTTCACACCCATATTCAACCATTTAAGTCTTGAGCCATATTCAATGAAATGCTCATGCTGTAGTTTCGGCAACATCATGTATGTCTGCCCTATTTGTCAGTACACTAACAGTGTAAGCTTTCACTCATTTGTAATACCATTTTTGCAATGTAAATTTTAGAATTTTTCATTTTCATTAAATGTTATCATTAGTTCAACATCCGATCCGAAAGGCCCATTATGAGTGTCTTACTCAGTGGTATATAGGGGTTGCAGAGGGGCATGTGCCCGGGCTGCACTTGAAGAGCTGCAATAGCAAAAATGGAAGAGAAAGAGAAAAGGAAGAAAATTATCATGACCCCAAAATGAATGGATTATAGTTTGACAAAAAAGCATTTGGTTTTATGATAAATGTCCAAGTCTGAAGAAATTACATTACCTCTTATTAGATCAAGGTAAAGCACAGGAAATGTCTCCTTTTTGAGATAGTGTCAACAATGTGCAAACATCTGGCTGAGCCATGAAAACACAGATTTTTTAGCAAACCATTCTTTAGAAACTAATTCAAATATAGGGAATAAGCATACATGTACCGGTAGTTGCATATTGAAATCTTTTGCAGGTTCATATTCAATGTTTGCCAAGGTATTCTTGGTGATATATTGTTAAAAGCAATCCAGGCTCACTGATATCTCTGTATATTTTAATGTTTTCTTTTTTGCTTCTAGATTTTATCTGATTGGGTAAAATAAGTAACTATTCTTTCTCTCTCTCTCTCTCTGTTTCTCTCCCTGGTGATAGCATTCATTCACACATGTGATACATACTGCTGGAATGAAGGCAGTAGGCGAATCCATCATTATGCCTATTGAGTATTACAACTGCAATGTGGGAGGAACCATTTGCCTTTTAGAAGTAAGTAAACAGTGATATCTACCTCACTCTCATGCAGAGTATACCCCCCCCCACCTCTTCCATTTTCTCTCTCTCTCTCCCCCTCCCCCTCTCTCTCCCTCCCTCTCCCTCTCCCTCTCCCTCTCTCGCCCTCTTCCTCTCTCTCCCTCTCCCTCTCCCTCTCTCGCCTCTTCCTCTCTCTCTCTCTCTCTCTCTCTCTCTCTCGCTCTCGCTCTCTCTCTCTCCCTCTCCCTCTCCCTGATTATAACATTTATTCACACATGTGATACATAGTACATACATGTAGTACATAGATACATAGTACATAGCACATAGATACATAGTACATAGCACATAGATACATAGTACAGAGCACATAGATACATAGTACATAGCACATAGATACATAGTACATAGTACATAGATACATAGTACATAGTACATAGATACATAGTACATAGTACATAGATATATAGTACATAGATATATAGATACATAGCACATAGATACATAGTACATAGCACATAGATACATAGATACATAGTACATAGATACATAGTACATAGATACATAGTACATAGATATATAGTACATAGTACATAGATACATAGTACTGGCAGTAGGAGAATCCATCACTATTGAGTACTAATACACATCTTGTAGTCGTAGTCCAGTGGTTTAAGCACTTCACTTGAAATGCAAAGTTCTTAGATTTGATCCTTGACATGGCACTAATGTCCTTTGGTAAGGTACTAATCTACATTTGTTAATTATCTGGAAACTGATCAGGCCCCTTGTCTTACATAGAGCAGTGATGGATCCAAAATTATTGTAAGCCCCCCCCCCCCCCCCCCCCATCAATCACAACTTACAATCTCATTAGGACAGCATTGCTAGTGATATCATAGTTGTGATAAGTTCAAGATTAATTGATCAATACAACAGATAACTTATGCATGTACTCTGCCTAACCAGATTATATCCCTTGGATGTATATTTTTCTTCAGGTGATGAAAGAGTTTAGCTGTTACAACATAATATTTTCAAGCTCAGCAACAGTGTATGGCCCACCTGACTTTCTACCTATAGACGAGACACATCATGTTGGGCGTGGTATCACAAACCCATATGGCAAGACCAAATATTTCATCGAAGAGATACTGAGAGACCTAACAACGGCTGACAAAGTGAGTAATATTCTTTACGGTTCTTGTAGTATGTCCCTATTATTAACTTAGACATTACATACACTGGCAATCAACCATTAAGGATGGTCATAATGAATATGCAATCATGATATAGGCATTGTCGTGAAATAGGGAACCATAATTCGCTCCACACAGTAGGGCTTCATTTTGTCTCGCACATTGGTCTCTTCTTTCCCACTCCATGTGTGTGTAAATGAATGATTGGTTTCCCAAACCATGATATATAGCCATGATATACTATATACCCCTGGTTTGTAAATCACATCATGTGGGCCAGATAGACCAAACAGTTTGAGTTGGCTAGAAATACATTGTAGGTGTATCAAGTAACACAAGTGATTTGATTCAGCCCATCAGACAGGGATGTCTTCTTTGAGTCTGCTCCAATTTACAATCTACTATCACTGCTTTAATGTTTGCATTTTGAACTTCTAAGCTCTTCTCGTGCATTAAAGCTCATTTATTGTGAAGTTACTGTGACAAGTTCAAACTTCTTTTCCTATTTCCTATGAGCTGTAAAGCGTTTCCTAGGCAACGCTCCTGGTTACTGTGCAGGCGTTGCTCAGTATTTTCAGTAAAGTGCGTTTTCTTTGCTTCATTGTGACATCTTTCTGATGTCCACAAACTTTTCACCAAGATATTTCTTTGGGCTGTAAAGCGTTTCTAAGGTAATGCGCCTTGTTTACTTTCTTGTAAACTATTTGCGTGTTGCCTTGGAAACTCTTTAAAGATTATAATTCTTCATTTTTGTCAGACTTATTATATGATATATCTAAATTTTTATTTCATATGTAAAATAAAACTAACAGACCAACCATCCGATTGTTTTTTTCCACAGAACTGGAATGTTGTCCTTTTACGTTACTTCAATCCTGTTGGTTCACATAAGTCTGGGCTCATTGGAGAGAATCCTCAGGGAATACCACAGAATCTGATGCCTTTTGTCTCTCAGGTAGCTGTAGGGAGGAGAGAGAGTGTGAAAGTCTTTGGGACAGACTACGATACACCTGATGGCACAGGTAAATTACATCAACACACATTACTAGCACAGTCAAACCTGCTTTAGTGACCACCTGTCTACAAAGGCCACATTTTGTTATGTTTCCATTGAAAATAGTTTTTCATTGAAACATGTACTAAAGAAACTTATCTACAATGACCACTTTTTGTGTTTCCCTTGGGCGGTAGCTACAGAAAGGTTTGACTGTATTTAGTTCATGTGGCCTGGGCTGGAATTATTACAATCTTTCAATAATAGTCAAAGATCATGCGAGGCTGATAAAAATTATGATTTTACTTCAGCTACATAAATGTTGTATCATACAAACAAACATTACTACAGGGATCAACAAGAACCGGGACATGGGGTGCCAAAGTCAAGACCCCTAAAATTTCAACATTTTAACATAGGACTCATGCGTACAGACACTGATAGTTTAATCTGCATCCCCTCAAAAAAAGCTAGTGTAGAGCCCTTCATTAATAAATTAAGATTTACAGTTTTACCATGAAGCAAATCTATCTCAAAGATAGGAAGGGGGATTAGTGAAAGATGGTGAAACTCGATCCGTAATGAGATCATGACAGAGATTATCCATCCTCCTTATTATAAGTAGCACAGGAGGGTTTATTGTGAGCCTCAGCAAATTCCTCAAAATATATATGAAATCTAGATGTACAGGTAGCCTATTGCACAATTCGTTGAATAAAGACTTCAAAAGATGTTAGGAAGATTATTTGGACTTGCTGGAGTGAGATTCGATATGACATGGTTTATCAATTTAATCAAGCAGTCATAAAGCTGAATTCTGTTTGTTTTGTTGAATTCTTATAAGATTATTATTTAATAAGATTTTGTTAAATATATGTAAAATTGTAAATGTTAATAAATACAGGAATGATAAATACTCAACCTAATTTTGAAATTATTATGATGATTACTGATTAGATTACAGTAGGCATTCCCATACAGACCGTTGATGTAATCCACTGGAGAATTAATGAGTAAATATTGATTCAGCTCTGAGCAGAGTTATTATGCTGTCAAGATGTTATTACATACAATGTCCCTTTGACTAGAGAAACGTTATTAACCTCTTTCATTAATTTTGCAGGAGTACGAGATTACATCCATGTATTAGATCTGGCGTCTGGTCATGTAGCAGCTGTGAACAAAGCTTCTGAGGGATGCGGTCTGAAGCTTTATAATCTTGGCTCAGGGAAAGGATACTCTGTGCTGGATATGATCAAAGCTATGGAGAAAGCAAGTGGAAAACAGGTAACATTTAGTCTGTAACATTTCCTTTTTATGTTACTGTTGTTACACTACTGTGAATACCCTCGTCTTGCCTAAATAAAACCTTTCTTTAAAGACCGTCAATACTACTGGGCCAGAAGGGATTAGACCACACAGCGAGGTCACTGACAGGTGGCTGTGTCATTTACTCAGCTCTCAACTAACATAAGAAAAAGAGGATCATGGGGGACCAACAGGCACCGAGGGAGCAAGTAGCTACAAGTAGGACAGTGGGGCTTTAAAGGTTTTTACAGGGGGTATTTTTTGTCATGACAAATACCAAAAGTGAATTTTCTCCTTTTTTTGTACAAAATTTAATGGCATCATTTAACAATGTTAATCCGAGATGCATGGCCCTACGTATTATCAGTTTATGTGACATGGTGTAATATTGAAGCCCTAAAAAATTGCTCTTCAAAATGATCATGAAGTGCCTCAAAATAGTAAAAATCTTTGAGTGACCGGTTTTACCATTCCGGGTACTCATTTTCCCCAATAGACTGTAGTGTTATAATTCGATTTCCAATCATAAATATCTTGATAATCAGACAGGCGATCAGCTTTTAAAAGTCATGGGGTTCCTGACTGACCTAAAGGTTTACAATTTTCATTGCAGCATGAGCTAAATCCAGGATTTTGTTTCAGAATCTGAGGCAAAGATACCCGATCCCTTTAAGCGTACCATTTGAGTAATTGGGTATTTTAACTATTTTTGATATGACAGATAGCGTATAATTTGGCAGGAAGAAGAGAGGGAGACATAGCATCCATGTATGCTAACGCAACACTAGCAGAGACTGAGTTACACTGGAAGGCTGAGAGAGGGTTGGATGAGATGTGTAAGTAGCACTTCTTCAATATATGTATGATCAGACACCACCAAACCACCAAAACCAATGGAAGTGGAATTGGTCTGGATGGTCAAGCGTTAGTTTTTAACATTTCCTGAAAGAGTCTTCTATCTTCTATTATCGGGTAATTCCATAAATTAGGGACCCACTTTGTGACATTTTTTGTGTTTCACTTACCCTACATAAGGAACCCACACATATTTGTGGCTCTGAGTAAAGACTTAAATAGTGGAGTGAGATTGTTAAGTGATTCTAGGTTTGAGAATGCAATATTATGCTTGAAAATCACTTTACAACTTGAAAGCTGATGTCTACTCGTTAGTTTGATACCAAATTCTTGCAGTGCCACAAATCTGATGATAAATAAAATGTGAGCGATTGTGAAAAATCCATTCTGATAAATGTACCCAAACTTTTGGAGGGCAGTGTATGTTTGTCTGATCTTGAGTTTGGAAAAGGAATTTTCATTTCTTTACAACCCTGGCTACTTATCATGATCTCCCATAAACTTTGATATTGGACAAGCTGTTTCATTAATGCTTGGACAAAATAAAGAACAGGAAGTGCTTAAATGGCGTGCAAGTTTTAAAAAAAGGACAATTTTGATAATCCCTTCACAGAAATTTCTAAAGAGTTCTATTGCTCCTTTTGTCACTTAGTCTTGAGAGTCAGAGTCCTTAAATAGACAACAGACTATGAATGTGCTTTTGTCTTTGAAGGTACTTTTTCTTTGAAGTTACTGTTTTAAGACTGGACCTTCTTGTCTTTTTCCCATAGAGTAAGAAACATCCAGTTGTGATAAGTTACATAACAGTTTAAAGCCGAGAACCCCTCTTTTATCATAAAGTCTCAACTAAGAAATATATATATATATATATATAGATATCTGGTGTATTTAGGTGGTTTTGCAGTGCTGAGTCTCAAACAAGGCTTGTAAACTGCACCTTAAAGCCAGGGCTTCTTTAGTTTCCATGCTAGCGATGTGGCTGTGAATAATGCATTCAAAATACAATGACAATGGTAGATTCATTGAATAGAGGTGAAGGTTCAAGGAAGCGAAATGTCATTCACAGAGTTGCTTAACCCTAATAAAGCCGGGGGGGGGGGGGGGGGGCCATTATGGCCCCCCCCCCCCCCCCCTCCACGATTTTTCTGATTGCTCGAGAAAGCATATGGATGGCGCCCCGCCACTCGCTGACTTTTTTCTTTCGAGTCTTGCGCAACTTTTAATTTTTTGAAAATCGGACCTACGGTTACAAGGTCACATAACCTTTTGTCTTTGCATGTCAGCCCGAAAATCGCTTATTTTCGTGATTTGTGTACAAAACATATGGAAAAGTCATTTTTCCTAAAAACAGATCAAACATGGGTTATTGGGTCTTGTTTAAAGTTTAAGTGGTTGTTTTGGGTGTCAAAATAGTTGAATTGTAGTAAGAAATGAAATAAAACAACAAAAACAATGAAATACATTAGTTAAAAAAACAATAAAATACATAAGAAATTATCAAAACAAGGGATAACATAAGGAATAAGCTGGCTCTTCCAAATGTTCTTGTTGTATTATTATTCAGAATGGTCTAATGAATATATGTAGTGAAAAAGAATGCCTAATCATGAATAATATATGATTTATGGGTAAAAATGTGAGTTTTATGACTTTATTTGCATAAATTACCATAAATATGCAAATGAGTGAATTTTTCAAAAAATTGAAATTATCATATTATTCTATACACTTCACTTGACATGCGTGCAAATTTTCGCGGCGATTGGCCGCTTTGCGGCCGAGATCTTAAGGGGGGGCCATAATGGCCCCCCCCCCCCCAACCATACTAAGACCTCAAATAGCCCGGCCTTATTAGGGTTAAAGGTAGATCAGATTTCCAGAAAATGCTTTGTTGTAGAAATGTAAGTGCCAATTTGCGTTAGGTCAAAGCTCTGTTGTGAAGGATTACACATGTCCTTTTGATCCCAAGATGTCCTCTATAGTATAGATCATATTTTAACCCTTGTTTGTTGTTGCTCAGAGCACATCCAGTATTAGATCATTTGTAATACCCACACAAACTATTAGGCTCATCATAATAAGAAATATCTCTGCAAGAAATATGTTTCATTTATTTCCTTGTATGTTCGCTCAAAAGGAAAGTGCATAGTCCTTTGGAGTGCTGCAGTTACAGAGTGCACAGTTGACAAGAATTCTCTCTCTCTCTCTCTCTCTCTCTCTCTCTCTCTCTCTTTCTCCATTATATTTACAGGTGAAGATCTATGGAGGTGGCAGTCTAGCAATCCAAATGGATATTGAGTCAACTTTGTTGACATTGGCAGTGATTATAAAGGCTTCCATGTAGCAGTGACTTACAAGTTACACTACATTATTCTGTGTCAAGGTTATTTAAGCATCATTAAGTATTCGCAATTTATTAACATCAAGCATCCATTAGAAAATTATCATCATTTAATAGGAAACTACACATAACAGAGCAGTAGATAGGAGTCAAAATATTTATTTGGTTTTCTGAATAAGAACAAAATATACATGTACATGTACTGTATGCTCTGTAGTGTGTAATCAGCCAAATAAGGGTGAAGAAGGATGACTATATAAAGTCAGCTTTTGGACTCAAATGAATTTATAGTCATAAATACATAGAAGATCAAATATCAAAGATATAAAATGTATAAATATCAGTTATATGACATGAAGTTTGTGAGATATGTGGGGACTTGTTTCAATGTAACCAATTTGGGCAATGTAATATTGAGAGAAAAGGGGTACTGTACGTCACCTTCCAGTCTTCCTCTTTATATGTGTTTGATAGAGCATGAGTAATTCTTACTGCTACCTCTTAATCTGAAAACATTGTTGAACCAATCCAATTGATAGCCCCTTTTTAATAGTTACAAAGCACTTCATTATAAATATGAGCCCCTTTTATAAACTGTGATAATCCACCTATAAAAAAGACTACTCTGCTATTTTTTATTAAATGCATTTAGTAATCCATGTTCTGCAGTAAAATTAATAAGCTTTCAAATGTTTATTGAACTGAACCATTGATGTAGCAGTCTATAGTTTGGTTATTGTCAAGAGGTTTCTAATTTGGACACCAGCTACAAAAGTTCAGGTATTAGTTTTAAAAAAATTAAAAAATTAAAAATAAAAATTGAAAAATAAAAACGATCAGATGATGAAAGAAAAAAAACCTATGATACTATAAAAACAGAAACTTTTGCAATATAGTTCAAGTCTACCAATCACCTGCAAAGATGATTTTGTATAGCAAATCAACCTAAAAAACAACTTTACCTGGCATTCTATGGGTTAAGGAGTAAGACTGAAGTAAAGAATAACAACCCTGCGAAAAGGGCATGCACAGAACCTAAGTCCGACCGAGAGAAGGTTAAGTTCTGGGGAGAGGTGAAAAATAATTTGTGAGCCTTATCATTGCTGTTATGCAAGTGTGGAAGAACATCAGAGAAAAATTGTTTCCTGAAAAACATGGCTCTTCAAATGCCTCCACAATCTAAAAATGACAAGTAACAGCTTAAAAATGGGGCCCGATTTTTATGCTACATGTTTGTCCAGTCCCTTATACATCTTTCTGTGAACAGTGCTTGTTACTTTACCAAGACTTGGCCAAATTTCTTATCATTTTGATGACTCCAGAACATTGCAGTACACACCAATGCTTATATTCTACATGATCAACTTTTTCTGATTAATTCCACATTGTTTCTTTCACAATGCAATCGCGTGACCAGAACCCAACTTTCTCTTTAAGGACAGCCATTATCACAGCAATAATTTGTTTGTCAATCTCCAAATTGAGTGTTGTGTCAATTATGAATCAGTTATATTACAGCTTAAAAATTGCACTTATCTGAACTGTTAGGAAAGTTCATGCATACAAAAGTTTCTAGTGTTTCAGTAGCTGCTTAGTGAGGAGTTGGTTTGTATTCATGTCATTGTGTTTCTGAAAGAAACTATATCATTCTAACGTCTCGCTAGTATCATTGACTTATGAAGCCTCAGGGAATGAGATCATGTAATAATTACTAGTCATCATGTTCATACCAAATATACCCATATCTGTCATTCATCGTACATCCAAGTAAAGCAGAGATTTAAGGTATAGACTGAATTGCCTCCTTTTCAGCAGTGAATTATTTGTATATCTGGCTCAGCATATTGAATGAGTTTATTGTCAGGGTTTCTAAGTTCAGGGATGAGATTCCTACGGCGAATGATTTCCGCCAAATTTGACATTTTAAGACGGAGGGGGACCTCACTATCTTAGCAGCTTTTGGGAGAACAAATATTTCTCAAATTTAGCATTTAAATGCAAAGAAAATGTGTCCTTTTACGCACCGGTAAATATGTTTTTTCTGCGAAAAGGGGGGGGGGGGCTTCTATTCCCACCAGGGACGTTGTCCCTGGACCCCCTTTTAATCATCCTCCTTTGGGGGAATTTCTCTGTCTCATCCCTGTAAGTTATAACATATACATATGTTCTCCCCATTGATCTTATGCTAATAAACCTGTATATATATATATATATATATATATATATATATATATATATATATATATATATAAATATATATAACAGATTTTAAAATATTTAAAAATATTAAAAAAGAGGATTGCAATGCACTATTACATGTACCTTGGCAAAGGTACAAGTTTCCACTCTAAATTTTGGGGCACTTAACATTTCATCAATTGACAATGATGCATTACCTTACAACCACATTTTAATCATCTCTTATATTTGCTGCAAGTACGTGGATATTATATATTATTTTTCTGTTTGTTTGTTTTACCTGACTGCTAAGAAAGCATGTGTATTCTTGTAGTTAAGCAACCAGGGGACTGGCAGCTTTAAGTCCTCTCCGAAGGACTTGGTAATAAGAATTATGCTTTACCATAAGGACAGAAGGGCATTGACTTGGTTTTAAACCCAGGACCTCCCGGTTACAAGAACACTGCTCTACCACTGAGCAACTGAAGATGAGCTAAATTTCATCTAAATGTCATTGAAATGGCAGCATTCAGAAATATTTACAGAAAATAGATAAAACACAACTTGTCTCAAAAGTTATTTCCAGTCTGTAATTGACAAGATTTTGCTCAAATTCTTTCTTTCATTGTGAATAGCTCATGTTAATAAATTATGCTTCTTTAGGTTGTAAGTGATAGTGCTCATGGTTCTTAGTATTGAACAAACTCTTATACGATATTTAATGTTTTTAGATCATTATGTGACCTTTGTGTATAACAAAGCAATAGATGATTTGAACAAACTCTTATTACGATATTTCATGTTTTCAGATCATTATGTGACTTTTGTGTATTAAAAAGCAATATATATTATGGGATTTAGATTGATTTTGGAAGTAATTATATTGATGGTGAAGTTTTGCTAATCACCTCAGAACCTTGAATTAGATGTGATTAAATTAGTTGTTTAGTTACCACTTATCTGTTTATTTGCTTTTTTTATGATGAGCATAGTGTATCAAGATATTTGATTATACAATCAACGTTTAATTGATTATGGAGGCTGAAATGTTTTTAATATAAATATATGGAATTGATTATATTTAGACATTTGTATGCAAAATATGAAGAGGAAATTATAATTGTAATAAAAAATAATGATAAAGCAATCTGTAAACACGTCTACAGTGTACTATTTATCTGTGTGTAAATTTTACAGTACTTCACAATACTACTCATTAAAGCCTCTGAATTACAGCTTAGAATCACCCCCACAGTCAATGAAAAGCCCAAATCTGTCGAACATGAATAATTGCCAAATTTAACTCTAAATCAGTAAGGCAGCTAAATGAGAGCAAGAAGTCCTGTAGTTCTCTGGGTTTTTTTTCTTTACTACACACTGCTCTCTGCAAAACATTCAGAAAATCAACATTTTAAACATCTCGACCAATCAGATAACAGGAAATGGACAGGGTCAAAATAATAGAATAGCCTGAGAGAGAAAGAGAACCAATGACAATGATTGAGAAGTGAGAGTAGGGAGGAAAAAATAGAAATCTATACAGGTGAGTGAGGAAGAAGGGAACTAAGTCCTGAATAACAATGAAGTCAAGGATAAAAGAGGCAATGATTAAAATAAGAAGATGAATTTAGGATATGGAGATGAGGGAATGTATGTAATCAAGAAAACCTCTGGCCTTTTCACAGAGTAGCAGGCCCACAAATAATCCACAATTTATTATTTTTTGTATTTGTAAAGCCATTAGGAACCTACATTTTAAAGATTTCAGGTCATCGTATCCTATGCTATCGCGATTTCTTCTCAAATCTGATTGCAGTTATAGTGTGCTTTGAGCTTTTTAGTTACATATCGTTAACAAGTATTTACAAGCCAGTCTAGAGAGGCTAGCATGAAATATGCCCCCATTCCTTTCCAAAGTAATTTAACATTGACATTGACGTGTGGAACCATATTCAATCTGGCAGCTTGAACTGGTTCAGTCAAATCTTGGCACAAAACAAGTCCAACCTGCTTCATTTTAAGACCACATTTTTTTGTTTCCCCGGAAAAGTTACTTCAGGAACCGGCTCAGTAAGACCACCTTTATCATCTCCCTTGTATTCATATATACAGGTTCTACTGTATGAAGAAGTATGGTATACATGTACACAACTACATGTAAAGTGGAACAGCTTTGTTAAACAATTAAGGTCCGTATAGGTAATTATTTTGGTATATTGGGAATCTTGTTATATCACCTTTTTTCTTTATCAGGATGAAAAATCTCAAAGAATGTAAAGAGCGGGTACCTGCAAACTAACCTTGTAACAGATACCTAGCTAGTTATATCATAATTTTTATTAACATAATTAAAGGTCAGCATGTCAATTGAATTAGCTTCCTATCCATTGAACTCGGTACAAAGAAGGATTAACTAAATGAACTTGGTCAGTTCATTGCAGGCATGTCTTGTCTTTTAATCTTACATCCCGGTAACATGGAGGCTAGGCCTAGAGAGCTCGGCTTTTAACTCCCGTTATTTGGAATGAAAGAATAAAGCAGATCAGTTTGGAGTTCTCCTCTTTTAAAGCCCCACTGCACTACTTAAAGCTTCTTGCGCCCTTTATATAGAAAACAATGCCCAAGTGGTGACCGTTGGTCCCCCATATGGTCCCCTTTTTCTCATGTTAATTGATTTGATGAGAAAACCACCTGTCAGTGACCATGCAGGGAGGTCTAATCCCTCCTGGCCAAACTAGTGCAGAAATACACTGACTAAACTAACAAAATAAAGGAAAAGTTTATTTGCATAATACTAAACAGTAGGTTTTAATTGAATAAAAAGATAATAAAATACATTTTCCATTTATTTGCAAAGGAAGATTTGTCAAAGTATCAGTGTAGTTCAATCACAAATTCGACTTTTGTGGTAGGACAAAGTTGATTGTTGTATAAATAAGTGCTACTTAAGGACGCAGGGAGAGTGATATGAAAATAAATAATCTACACCATGGGGAAGGAAGAAATCAGTAAATAATTCTCTTCTTTAACCCATACAACAAAATTTCACCAAAAAAACCTAAATTAGAATTAAATATATGCACATGGTCGTCCAGATATAATTAAACAAATTAGACAAATGAACTGTAACATGTTGTATTATATTTTCTTTTATTATTCTTCTTTACAAAATCCAAAATACATATACCGGTATATATATAAAAATATACACACATGTTATATGTCCAAATATATACACATAAAAGTATATACACATTTATCATAAATAGTCATGAATTGAAGTACAAAAAGAATGACAATAACATAACACAGAAGTGTGTGGGACACTTTGGTTATGTATAAACGTGAAATATTGCTATCTCATCTTACTAACAGAAGAACAATGTTTCTAAGGCAATTTGAACGGAATGGATGTTGTGCTAAATGCACATGTGTATTATTAATACAAAACTATGACAGTAATCATGTTCTTTGATTTTCAGATCCTATGAATACTGAAATTTATTTGTTCAAACAAAATATATTTCTCTTGACAGAAGAAAATATGAAGAAAACTGAGCAAATACTACCAATCTGATCACCAAACCTGCTTTTGTAACAAAAGCTTATAGATGTTCATGCGTGGGTATATATTCATTCGTGAAGTAGGCAACTTGGCAATCACTATACAACACTGAGCTAACAGGTATTACGCTCCTGTGCGTACATACGTGTGCTGCCCTCTATATACCCACGCAAGAGCAACTTTAAACTCAGGGTCATGTATGAATTTGAGTACAATCCGGACCTAGCTGTGACTTCAACATCAAGCCATTTTGTTCAGTGTATCGCATACACTACTGGTGCCTCATTAATAATAATAATAATACATATGATTTATAAGGCGCCAAATCCACTAGATAGTCAAATGCTCAAGGCGCAGCTTGTGCAAAAGATGAAATACATACATTCTACTGATTATTCATGTATTACCGTATACAGTTATCTCTGCATAAGTTGACTCTGGAGGGACCAAACAAAATAGCTTGAAATTAGGAAATGTAATGTTTTTCATATATAGTTTGGGAAGATTTGACTTGTGTGCCTTCAAGTTTATATGCAGAGTTAACTGTACACTATACATGACTAGAAAGATAATGGGCACTTATACTATGCCATCTTTCAACAAAATCTGTCAGGTATTTAGATGCTGGAGTTCAGAGAATAAAGCAGCTCATGCTCTCATTAGAAATGTTTGCCTGGATATTTCTGGCAAGTGTAGAATACACTTGGAAATATATTGTGGGTCATGTATCCTTTGTAATGTAGGGCTGCTGTCTGGGCTACTTACATGTAAGATTGAATGGAATCACATTAGAACACTTGCGCTAATAAAAAGCAGACCTTTGTTTTGGAGATGAGAAATTATTCTGAGAGCCCATCTAAACACAAAAATAGAATTACTAGATATCTATTGATAATAATCTGAGCACTTCTACATGAATAGTACTTCTTCTCAGTTCCATTCACAATGTTCTCCCATGTAAAAATTCAAAAATAAAAGTAACATGTCACTTGTTTCTTGCACCATTACTCTTCATGTCGTCTCCAATTTTGTTGATTTATTGCATCATAAAGGATAGGACATTACCAACACATATAGTTAGAACACTAATGGACTTTGTCAACAGGTCATTTCAGATAGTGTGTATAGTGTATATATTGCTCATACAGCAATATTTTTAGAAGAGATTATATCCATGACACAGGAAAATAAATTAATTGTAGATTTTTTATGATAAAGCTCTGTCTTCAGTGTTCAAAGTGTACAAAAATAAAGCTATGCAATTGAATTTAAGGTCTGCATGAAATGTGTCTGAGATTTAGATAGCTTCACTCATTATATTTCATCTTTGATCTCATACTTCTCTCAAAGCATTTAATGAGTTATAATACTTCTGTAGCATCTATCATTATAGATGTACTCATTGAAACGTATCAAGCAGATCAGTTTGTCACGTGTAGCTCAGTTCGTACCATCCCTGACAAGAGCAAGTATATATTCAGCCAGTATAGTCCACTTGTCAGTGAGGTATTCCAGCACTCGTTATCAGTGTGTCATCTGATCTTCATGCATTTGATCTGGATGTGCAGGTTTGTTCAAACCAATGCAGGCCAAACAAGTTTGTATTTGATGCAGAGTATCCATCAATCTTGTTTTCTATTATAGCTCTGAGAATGGTTGATAGTTTGATAGATCACTTCATGGAAGAGCCCATTTAGTCTGAGCGTTGTAGAGGAAGGATTGCTTTTTGTTGTGAGTCTGTGGTCTGTATGTAGCTGCAGGAAGATAGACAAAAAAAAAAAAAAAAACATGGTTAGAGACCTATTTCAATCATCATTCAAGTTATTACCTACATTAAATTATTATTTTGTTAGTACTTACAATTATGAAGGAGTCACCAATGTGATATATGTGGTACTTACATATAAGTATCTTCTATGTTTAAAAAGATTAATACTTTTTCTTAGAGATCAAATATATCGACAGACGAGAATTTGTTTCAAAACTTATAATACCGGTACTAACGAAACCATCTGTACAAAATCACTCAGGAAACAATCACCTTGAGATTGGAAAATGGGTAATCTAACTTTGGTTCTGTGTATGCATACTCAGAAGTTATTTTAATGTTGGTTGGGAGTGTCTTAAAACTTACAATATCTCTTCACGTGTAATAGATCAAAATAAGAAAATTTAAAAGAATGTACTTAAAGCAAGCCATGGATTACTAACCTGGTCCAGGGAAATCTGTATTCTGAGTTTCTCCGTTCCATCTACTGGAAGATGATACAAACACTGATCCTGACATGTAATGTTTAGCAGGTCCTTTATAGTTGACTAGCTCATAGCTACCTGGACCTGGATCTGGTAGAGGAGGAGGAAGGGGCATGGCTGGGGCGGATATACACAGGTAGTGCTTCTTCCTGCATGCATCAAAGGGAAATAATAATAATAATAATAACTAATAACTACTTATATAGTGCTGTTCACAAGAAATTTATATCAAAGAGCTTTACAACATTGATGCAAGTAAAGCTAAACAGAGAAATGACAAGAGAACAAAAGTGAAATTATAAAACATAATATAACAAGGTAAGGTGACAATTTAAGAACTAGGTTGAATATGCCTTTTCCATTAGATTGGTTTTTGATTTTGATCTAAACAAAGTAATATCAGAGATGCAACAGATGGAGGCTGGAAGAGAATTCCACAAACGTGGAGTAGCTAGAGCATGAAAAAGAAAAATACAACAATTGTTGTTAAAATAACAATATCTTAAAGAAATACAATCTCCACCTTGCAGATTATTCTCATGTCATGTTTGCAGTTTATAGCAATTATGTACAATTCAATTCATGTGGATTTTATTTAAGTTATTTCCATTGCTGATCATGTGTGGCACTCTAAAAAAATAAAAGAACCTTAAAATAATGTCACAATCAAGAATTTACTAGCACAATTTGCTAATGTATCCTATTTCTTCTTTATAAAAGGATTGATATTTCAATTCAAGAGAGTCTTTCTAAATTGTTCCTTATTTTCTATGAGAAAGTCTCGGCATGCATTTGAATAGCATCAACCAATTAAAAAGTTAAAGATTACATACCATTTATGACAGAGGAAATGTAGAAATTAATGCCTCAAGAATGACATTAAGTGATTACAGGCCTTGCCTACTACAAGTACTTTATAACATGGTATGTCAATTGTAAAAACGTATATTGCCTTCAAATGTAAAATCCGCACAATATGATGCGATACAACACTTTTCACAAATAAAGAAACTTACGGAAACAATGTTTTTGTAGCTTCCTCTACAGATTCATGAGGATGATAATGGCCTGGACCAGGATTCTGAAATAAAAGACAAAATAATCAGGGCTGAACTCTTAAAAAACATGAAATATCTTGACTGAGACTTAATATTAATGGAGTGAGATGAAATTTGTTTGTCAGAGCTGATAAATTGAACTGCTGCTTAATGCTGAATACCCTATCAAGGCCACTTTGTACTGGGCAGTAACAGAATCCGCACAGAGCCTTCATGGCATGATTTTGAATGGCACGTCCAAGCTAATGTTACACTTAAGACTGACATACATGTAATAAATGTAAAGTCATTGCTATTATATGAACATTATATGAACACCCACAGAAAAGAAGAAGAAGAAAAGAAAAACTCTTGCACATGAAAGGCGCACACATCAGGAGAATGTTGGTAACACAATAACTCTAAAGTTTGGATCCCTGCAACAAGAGACTTCATCAAGCTTCGCATAATAATAATAATACATTTATAAAGCGCAGAAATTATCCAACATTGAGTATATATTCTTAAGATTCTTTGATGTGCTTAGATTTACATACATGTACATTAGTTCATACTCCAAGTTTACGTTTGAATTTTTGTTTGTGGACCATCCTTTAATAGATTTTTAATAGTATTTACTTACACGTGTATTGTTTGGGATGAATTCCCTGTTTGATGTTGACTTGAAGCTGCTCATGGGTACTTTAGGTGCCTCTTTGGTCAGGGTTTCATTGATTGTATAATGGCCTGTATGGAGAGAGTGATGGAGAGAGAGAGAGAGTGAGGGGGGAGAAAGGGAGAGAGAAAGAGAGAGCATGTCATTAACCAAAAGAAATACAAAATAAGCATGATAAATACAAATAACAAGCATTAGTAAGGTCTTGCAAATTTGTATTACATCAATACCATTTGATAACATTTTATCTCTTTTGGGGCCAATGAACGTTCTGCTTTGATATACTTGATTATAGTTTCAATTATGAAAATCGTATTTTCTGTCCAAGAATTTGTACAACAGTGTACAAATAAAACTCTCTCCATACCAAAATATGTTTTGGTGAAATAAAGGTTTCAATTATTTTCTTTATTACTATTTATCTTAGATCAAAGCTAACAGTGTCTCGTTGCCATGTGAATGAGAATTTTACTTACAAGGTGCTGGCGCAACACTCTGTATTTTGTTGTAGTCAACTCTTCGAGATGTCGATTTGAAGGATGCTTGAACTTGGCTTCCATAATGTCTCTTCATTGTGCTGTCAGAAACCTGGTGAGATGACGTGAAAGATAAATGCTTCATTCAGATATGATGCAGTAAACAATCTTGTCCTACAAAATTATCATACTGCAGCAGTAACAGAGTATCAAGAAGCTTGCAGATCAGCGAGCAAAAGCTTACCAAAAACAGATGTTTTTTTATTTTTTTTTATTGGGGGGGGGGGGGGGGGTTACTGATTTAATTATTTTCCTCAACATTTAATTGCCAATCAGACATCTTTAGGAATATAAAGTTCATCTTATATTTATTACGGTTAAATACATTACATAAATTATAAAAACAATTTTAATTCATACAAACATGAACATGATATTAAAATTCTTACCTTATAATGATTTGGAGCAGGTAAGCTTGATTCCTTATCTCTAGGTACAGCAATAGGTGTGTGGAAGCTACTCGTTGCTGTTGCATTGTTGAAATCTTTCTTCGTAGTCAACATACTCGGTAAGGCATAAGCAGGACCAGGACCAGGGGTAGTCTTGTGTCTTTTAGCTCTCTTCTCCTACATCAAATAAATTTATACATTTACAATCTCTTCATTTTGTTTTTTTCATTTCCTTTCAAGGGATCTTACTCTTAACAATGTTTAGTCTCTGTTTTCAGCAAGGGATCTTCCAATTGTCATGACAAACCTGCAGGTTTATTCCAACTAATCATTTAGCTAATGTTAGCTCGTATATGGCTGCTTACAAAGATAATTTACATAAATGTCTGAGTGATCACTAATGAAAAGGGTTTACAGAATATTTCATGTAATTCAGATTTGTAATGAGACACATATACTGTATAATATTAAAAGAACAGTTTTAGAATACAAGGCACGATAGATTCAACAACAAAAAAGAATACCACTGATTTCTGTCTGCATGAAGAAAGCCCATATAGATCTAGATCAATAAATTAATAGGCTATTCTTGCTTAATCAGTACTTAGTTAAATATTTATTCACCACATGTAAAGTGTAAACAACATAAAGCGTACAAATATTGATTATATGAATACTATGGGGGGGGGGGGTAACAAGGATTTGAAGAAATTTCAGAAATTAATTGTACAAACAAATTGCATTTTATCCTGTATAGACAACATTTTCATGATACAAATTGTAAAATATTTTAACAAATTTGAGCTGTTCCACATGTAACACTATTCATGAAACCACAAGTTATCATTTCAAATTTTACAGTAGATATGTGCTGGGCTACTTGGATAGAGAGACTTACCTTGGATACGAATCCAACACCCATTCCTTTCTTTGAGAAAGATGGTTTAACAAGGATAGGTTTGTTTTGTTCAACGTATGACCCAGGGCCAGGATTCTCATTCTAAAAGACAAACGATAACATTCAATACTACATTAATTCAACTTCTTTTTCTTCATTCTATACAGGCAAATCACATACAATAATAACAAATCAAATCAAGTGTGAAACGTTACATGACAAAACTTGATGCCTCTTGCTTTAATATAGACAGTTGTGTTTTTGAAAAGTTTAATAAGTCAAAGCATGTGATCATGAACACCCTGTACATTTAGGCTGCATGAACATAAAGTTGCATTTATTATTTTCCAGTTGAGTTTCAATGAAATTTCTCATGCAAGAAATATTGTACACTGATATCCTAACTGGTCTAGATAAACACTGGCTTGTTAAACAATTTCATATAACCTGACATCCACGCATTCTGCACTACGTCTTAAGTCGCATACTGACAATTGAAATTATATCTTGGAAGACGACCGGGAGACCTACAGGACTTCCTCACTCCCGTATAAATCGATGATGATGATGATGATGATGATGTTTCATATTGATCGATCAATTAAGGGAAATAATGACAATTAGGCTCATAACAGTCATCCACACACCTACTAACGAACCTACTTTTGAATAGAGCTACATGCATGTACATGTGTATTTAGTATGAGGTGCAACAGGAAAAAGGGTGCACTGTACAGTTGATCAAACTGATTATACTTACAAGTGTCATGTCATGGTTGAATCTTTTAGAAGTAGCACCGAATCCTCTTTGATCAGCATTGTTGGTGACAACAGTTTGGTATTTACTTGGAATGGAAGACGTTGCTGCTATTACTCCTTGACCTGGAAAAAAAGTGAAACAAATGATATTTTATTGACATTGACAGAATGATGTTTCTCTACAGACAATTGTCATGTCAATTACATGTACATATATGTCTCGCTGTCACTGTAGCAACAACTTAAAGTAAAAATTGTTTTGGAATGAGCTTGATTTGCTGAATGTAGATTCTAGACTAGATTCTAGACCTAGATTCTAGAGGTAGAATAGATCTATTAATAAATCATGACTTTTTATTTTTATTTGACAGTTGTTCACAGGGGAATATGATCCACAAGATTAGAAATAGAAGACAGAAAACACGTACACAAGCGGAAAAGTGAAATTTAGGTCACAAATATTCACAAAATGGACAAAATCGAGATTTATGAAGGGGTAACCAAAGTTCGCGGAGATTTCGACAACATTATAAAATGTGATAGATTTCTCATATTTTCCACAAATTTATTTATTTTAATTATTACCAAATGGACGGCAAAGTTTTTTACTACAAATTGGTTCAACTGATCCATCAAAAATAAGGTAATATCATAATTTGCAAGGCAAGATATCATACAATCAGTTGGTACCACTTTTTTTCTTACATCGGACATCGTTATCGGGTACCGCACCATGCACAGGCCATGTACAGTAAGTACCGGCCGGACGAGAGGGCGGGCCGAGCGGCATGCATGGTGGAGCTGGAGAGCCAAGTAAACTGGATAAATTATAGCCCGACGTCTCCTGAAAATAAACCATTCTTTGATGAGATAATAATACATATTTAGTCTGAGTGAAACTAACCTTTATACAATCGTCCTGATCGTACAGACCCTGCAATTCTTCTGTAATTAGGATCAAGAACTTGCACACAATCCGCCATTTCAGTACGAAGTTGGTATTCTTGTTTGATGTGTTGCCTTCAAGCCGAAGCTGTAGTTGATTTTGCCCGGCCGTGTATTGTTTACGACGTTGCTAGGATCGATGCTAATGCATCGTCAAGTCAAAACTCAACTTAAAATTCGGACTCGGTCAATCGATGACTCGACCACTCAATGTATTTGTATGAGTAAACTTCCATATTATCTTCATCTGACGTAAAATATGCATTTCTTATAAAATATTACAACATTTTGTAATGGATGAAATACTCTGTTTACATTTAAAAATATTCGACTACTCCCCCAAGGGCCCCAAGGCGCTACTTTGAAAGGGACGGAATTTTTACATACATGAGTTGTGTTGGTCGAGATACCTCAGTCCCGCTTGTTCGTCGATTATACTTCACCAAAGTTTCATTTACCAGTAACACTCCATAATGGGGTACATTCCCTCCCACTGCACCCCAGCTGTGGATCGGTGCATCTAAACATTAATGTCAGATCCAAATTATTTTTAAAAAGCTGACAGAGGTAAAAAGTGCCAGATGTAAAAATGCCATTTGTCCAAAATATCTGAGGTAAAAGTATCAGAGATAAAAATTCAAGAATTAACCAAGAGCCAGAGGTATAGGATAGAGACATAGGCCTATAATTATGAGGGGTAATACATTGTATGCCATGCAGCGGGTAAAAACAAATGCCAGATGGTCATGTATAAAAGGCTCTTCTCCATTAATTTCGATATACATGTTCAATTATTTCACCTTTCCTTTTCCCTAATTCAACTTATTCATATGAATGCCAATGCGTCTACATTCTTGCGCGGTTTAAGAAAAAAATACATTCCATTTGTGATGGATTACCAAACAGCTAATGTCATGAGCTTACCATCATAAATGATGCGTTATTGTTGATGTTTTCATACCACGAAAACGAAATATTGTTTTAGGTGTCGTTTATAGGCCTCCACGAAGTAATCTAAATCTCTTTATAGATGAAGTTCAGAATATTCTGTAAAATCCACTCCTTAATATCAAGACAATTTTTCTTATGGGTAATTATAATCTGAACTGGCTCCCTTGCGATGGAAATAACTGTATTGATGACTTTTTGAACCCGTTGGTGTCCTTTTGCTTGATGCCTTTAATCACTAAGCCTACAAGAGGATAATTCCTCTACTCTCATTGACAATATTACAATCCATTCCAGATGCTGGCATCATAATTTCTGATCTGTCTGACCATTTTCGACATGATTATTCGACTGAAACATGTCTAATTCATTTGACTGATTATTTGAGGAGAGAAACTTCCCAAGGGCGCTTTGTTGGTATGGTGCTCCTTGATCTGCAAAAAGCTTTTGATACAGTTAATCATTTCGTCTTATTGAAGAAGTTACAACTAATGGGTTTTGATAAGGCAAGTTTAGATTGGTTTAGATCCTACTTATCTAATCGGCACCAAGTAGTGGCCATTCATGATATTCGTTCCAAACTAATGCCTATAACTTGCGGTGTTCCTCAGGGAAGCATTTTAGGCCCAATTCTATTTTCAAGTTATATAAATGATATGTGTATTTGTATAAAAGACTTCAAACTATTATTGTACGCAGATGACAGCGTACTACTCTATTCAAATCCTGACCCTAAATATATTGAGGAAAAGCTCAGTGAACAGCTGTCTACGTGTGTCGATTGGATGACTGATAATAAGCTTTCTTTACACTTGGGAAAAACAGAAAGCATTTTATTTTGTTCTAAAAGTAGTTCTAAAAAGTCATTTGAATTCAAAGTGACACACAATAATCAAGCAATCAAGAGAAAAGAGTCTGTGAAGTATTTAGGCATTGAGTTGGCTAGCGCAATTTCATTTTCATCTTTAGTAGAATCAGTTGTAAAAAAAGCAAATTCTCGTCTGAAATTTTTGTACAGATATCAAAGTTGTATGGATTTGAAAGCAAGACGTACACTCTGTTTTGCTCTTATTCAATGTTTATTTGACTATGCTAACCCTGCATGGTATAGTAACATAAACAAGTCAGATCAAAAGAAGTTGAAGATTATACAGAACAAAATGGTGAGATTTATCAACTGTTCTGGTCCAAGAACTCATGTTGGCTACAGCGAACTTTCTAAAGCTGGTTTTCTTGAAGTCGACCAAAGATCAAAACAACTCGTATTGCATCATGTGCATAAAATATATCATACTAGGTCGAATCATTATATTCGATCCAACTTCGATCTTGTTACTGACGTACATGATTATAATACAAGAAATAGACGATTCAACTTTAACTTACCTGAAAGAGTAGGTAGTATTGGAAATTCGTTTTATTACAATGCCATAAAACATTGGAATTCCCTTCCCAATGGTGTAAAAGAAATAGGAAACTATGATCATTTTAAGAGGAAATTAAAGGAATACCTAATACTTGACAGTCAGAGAAGAGAAGTGAATGACATGTTATATGATTGAAATTTTTATTCTTCTGTCGGTTCATACTTTTTCATGTTGTATATACTTATGTTTTCGTACGTTATAGAAATTCTACAAATTCATCATTATTTTCCTCTTCTTCCTTCTCCTCCTTTTCTTCTTCTCCTTCTTCTTTTTCTTCTTGTACTTAATATCATTTCTATCATCAGTTTATAAAAAATGTTGTTATTATTATTATCTTTAATAAGTAGTTCTTTTAATTTTCTTATCTGTCTGTAAATATTACTATTTTAACTTATTAATTTTATACATGTCTGTAAGGGACCCCACTGGAAATAAGCTCTCGAGCTTTCGTGGGTTATCCTGTTCAAGCTGACTTTTTTTGATCTGTTATTATTGTATATTATTGTATGTTGGAAGCTTGTCGAATAAAAATCAATCAATCAATCAATCAATTCCTATATAATTATAAATATATATCAATATGCCACTGAGCAAACCCTCTTAAACACGTTCGTAGGAGCAATCCCGAAAATATTGTAATGCATAAGGAGCCCTGATTGCAACTGACTGGAGTGATGTTATACTTGGTCAAAATGTTGATAGCTCTTTTGATTACTTCTTTAGCAAATTGTTATTGTTGTATGATGAGAATATACCTCTAAAGGGATAGAAGAAATTGCAGGAAAATCCCCCGAATGCCAACAAGATCGCTATTAAAATCAATCAATAAGAAATAAGTTATATTATAGATACAAGACAACTAAATCAGAACAGTCGTGTATGAATTACACTAGATATCGTAATACCTCAACTACAATTCGTCGCTGTTTTCACGAAGTGACGGTAGTGAAAAAAATTGCATTCACTTTGCGTTACGATTTTCCTCACTACCGTCACTTCGTGAAAACAAGGACGAATTATACGATTTTTAAAGAAAAATTACTATTCCATTCAATTTCAGGCAACTTGAATCCCGCCTTGATATAAAAGAAACATGGAAGGTTGTGATAATATCTCCAACAGTCTAGTTAAAAATGTAGCAACAGGAATTGTACAACCATTAGTGCATATTTTTAATCTGTCAGTGATTAACCCATGAATATAAAAGTTGCCAAGATTGTCCCTATTTTTAAGAAGGTGACCCAAAATTGTTGACGAACTACCGACCCATTTCCCTATCAACATCTTTCTCTAAAGTTCTTGAAAAACCTATCCACTTGAGAAAGTTTCTGTAAAGTTTCTCAATATACGAGTAATATTGTTCAAACTTTCAATTTGGCTTCCGTGACAAACATTACTACCACCCATGCCAGTGGCGTAGACAGGTTCGTACACCTGGGGGGATGACTCAGGGGCGGATCTAGCTTTTTGCTAAGGGGGGTTGACCAATAATGACGATGCGGAGCATCGTCCACGAGCCGCGAAGCGGCGAGCCGATTTTTTTTGGGGTGTTTATTTGAACCCAGTAAGTGATGTTTTCCTGGCATCTATTAACACAATGGAGACCATAAAAAGCAGTGCATGATAACGTCTTTTTAAATCAAGTAACAGTTAAATACAGTTATATCCAGAGTTATCATGTGTTTGGTTAAGTTACCAGATGAGTTGAATATCTTCTCACAATATTTGCACTTGAAAGGGTTTCTCTCCAGCGTGCGTTCTTTTTTCTTCTTTTTTTTTTCTTTTTTTCTTTCTTTTTTTCCCTTTTGTTTTGTTTGTTTTTTGGGCCGCCCAAGGGGGGGGGGGTTTAAACCCCCTAAACCCCCCCCCCCCCGTAGATCCGCACCTGTTTAATCTTGTGGTTATCTTGTGGTTTCCAAACCACAAGATAACCACAAAATACTTGTAAGATTTTCTTTGTTTTACCGTCTGAATTGGCTTTCACCGTGTGAATGCGGCTAATAACAACAAACACAATTACAATAATGATGAGGATTATTATTATCATCATCATAATTATTATTATTATTAATACTATAATTGTTATCATTATTATTATTACTATTATTATCATCATTATGACTTATTTAGGAAGCAAATATCATTCCCCAAAACCTGGGGGGGATGATTGTACATGCCATCCCCCCCCCCCCCCCCCCACCTTGTGAGGTGGGGGGATGCATCCCCCTCATCCCCCCGTTGTCTACGCCCCTGACCCATGCTATACTGCAGGTTCTCAAGTTTATCAGTAAAGTTTCTAATGCTCTGGACAACCAATGCACACATATTTTTGGATTACTCTAAGACATTTGATACAGTACATCATAAAATGTTGTTATATAAATTATCCTCAGAGCATTTTTACTTATTTTGTATTCTACTTTATTCTACCTTAATATATCAATATGGTGTGCTTAATTGCTTGGGGCAAATCTCTCTTAAAACGCATTTAGATAAGAGAGTATTCTTTTTCCAAAAGAGGGTAATTAGAATAATCTGCAATGCTGACTTTCGTGCTCATACAAATCCTCTTTTTAAAAATCATAGAATATAAAGGTAGGATATATTTATGGCTCCTTAATGTATGATCTCAACTCAAGACGTGTCTCTGCTTTCCATTTACCCCATGCAAGGACAAAGTTTACTCTTAACACTTTAGTTTGCACTGAACCAAGGTTTTGGAACTCTCTTGAGTCTTGACTCAAGTATTAGTTAGTCATTCTGTCTGTATATCTGTCTCGTAAACTGAAGTTATATTATTGAGGATATTTAGTTGATTCTTAAACGATGCTCCAAATTGTAAAGCTGCCGTAATTTATATTTCAACATGACTAGGAACTGCCGACTTACCTTTTCATTTTTCTTTTCCTTTCTCGTCTGTAACTATAGCTTTTTAATTTTATCGGTTTTTTCTTTTCTTTTTTCTTAACCTTCAGAGAGGAGAGAGAGGAGGGACATACTTTCAGTGAAAATAATTATGTCCTTTTTCTCCCTCCCCCTCTCCCCCCCTCTCTCTCTCTCTCTCTCTCTCTCTCTCTCTCTCAATCTCTCTCTCTCTCTCTCTCTCTCCCTCTTAATTTGTTACTAAATGGGGGGGGGGGGTAAGAGCACTTTTTTTTTTGGTCCCAAAAAAATTCGCAACGACTCAGCCAGGGAAATTTGAACATTTGGCAGACCCATATTTCGTTCAGTTAGGGGGGGGGGGTAAAAACACGTGATTTTTACCTTTTTTAGGGGTTGGCCCCCCCCCCCCTGGCGGTCAAGGGGGGGGGGTGCAAATTTTTAAATTTCCGAGGACCAAAAAAAAATGTGCTCACTACCCCTCCCCTCATCCCCTCATCTTGTATGATGATTATTGTTGTCTCGCCGAAATCTGACTCTCTTAATTTTCATTTATGTATTACATGTAATTAGGAATAATATGATTATTTAATTATGATCATTCCATTCCCTGCTCTCTCTCTCTCTCTCTCTCTCTCTCTCTCTCCCTCTCCCCCTCTCTCTCTCTCTCTCTCTCTCTCTCTCTTCCTTTCTCTCTTTGTACCTCCCCTTTTTTTCCCCATCCCCCCCCTCTCTCTCTCTCTCTCTACTCCATTCGCATTATCACTCTCACTTTCATGAGCATTAATATACCTTCCCCTGCTCTTGTCAGTGGCGGATCCAGGGGGGGGGCCCGGGGGCCCGGGCCCCCCCCCCCCCCTTGAGAAAAAAATCATGTAAAATCACGTGATTTTTACCTTTTTTGGGGGTTGGGTCGGAAGCAAAAAAAAAAAAAAATTGTGCTCTGTACCACCCCCCCCCCCCCCCCCCCCCCCCCACTGAGCGACTTTTCGGCCGGCGCGATTTTCAAATTTTCGGGAGCAAAAAAAAAAAAAGTTGGGCCCCCTCCCCTAAGAAATCCTGGATCCGCGCCTGGCTCTTGTTTATCTTCTGCTAGTACATCCTTTTACGTAATGTACCCGAACGCAATATAATTCTGCTGTATTGTCATTATGTTACAGATATATTTACTATGTTTCGTAATACTATTGTACATGAATCATAATTTACATCACTGTACCTTTGTAAATTGACCCTTTCAGCCTTGTGCTGCTGGTCGATCGTTATAATTATACCAATAAATTAATAATAATAATAATAATAATAAATCTTGGACCTGGTGTCCCCCATTGCCTGCACACATGTCTGATAAGACACCATTCATAATTTGCTGTGCAACACCCATTCACAACATAAAATGGCCATAAGTTTTCTGTGATGGTTGGCACACTTCATAGACTTCATTTAAAAATACTTTTCAAGAGCCACCCCTAAATATCTGCATACACCTCAACATTCAGTGAAACTTGTGTTTTTATATCAGAGCAACATTTTACGATCAAAATTGGTTACCTTGGTCAATTTTGCCAATTTTCTCGGAGAAAGAGCACATTGTAGTCTTCGAAATGAATTGGATATATGCAGTAGTGTTGTTAAAGGCCACAAATGGCGCTATAGCAATATTGGAGCCAACACGGACAGCCAGAGAAGGGTTCAAGCTTGGTGGTCTCCAATTCCCTGCGGTCTCCAATTCCCTGCACCTACCCTACAAGTAAATATTCAATCATGAAAAAATACAATTATACAACATACAAATCGTGTAAATATCAAAAATATAACACACAAAGTCAGCTAGGGGCGGCGAGTCTTTTCATAACCGAGGGGGGGGGGGCGGACGAAATGCAAGATTTTTTTTACAATATTTACTAGTACATTTTGAAGGAGATAATGCGAGGGAGCGTAGCGACCGTGCGAGAAGATTTTTGCAATTTTATGAGTCTAAAGGCTGCACTGTTGGACCCTCAAGAGCTTAAATAATTGTTGCAGTCTTTAGTCAGTATTTGCTTTACCTTTTTTTTTTTAGGGGGGGGGGCTCTTTTACACATTTCCGGGGGACGTCTCCCCCCCTAAAAAAACTTAAGGGGGACGTATCCCCCCGGATCGCCGTCCCTGTTCAAAGTACAAACAACGACAATGCTATATTTCGTTTAAAAAACAATTTTTTTTTTAAATTACCTTGGCCTTATTTAATAACATAATAATATATATATAATATGTTGAGGATAAATTATTCTAGCAAGATTGTTATATATCGCAGCTTTGAATACGTAGCTTGAAAACGATAAAGAGCTTGGAAAATAAGACTTTTACTTATATTAGGGCCAATGATTTATATCTATACCTGTCTTCAACGGTGTCGATTTGTATCCGTGGTTGGGGGGGGGGGGATGATAGGTGCCAAAATATTTTCGGCAATGGATCAAAGCAACCAAGAGGTAGAAGCGTGTGGCAGGTTGCACCCCTCCCTTACAAGACTTTTTCAAGTCACCCTCAATAAAGATAAAAATTCCGAGAATATAGGACCCATGTGGGTCCCACATGGCTTGTAACTTTGGTAGCGAATCACTTACAGAGCGCGCGAAGCGCGCGACCTAGGGGGAATGGGTGCAGAGAGGGGGTTTTCCCGTCCCGCGCAAAGCGCGGAAGCTTTAATGTTTTATTAAATTATTAGAGAAAGAAGACGATTCGTTGTACCGTTCTCGACTCTTAATCCTTGTCTAAATTTAGTTTATTTTGACGTTTCATTAAATTATTAGAGAAAGAAGACTATTCGTTGTACCGTTTTCGACTCTTAATCCTTGTTTGAATCAAGTTCCCCTTCCTCCGCGCGTAGCGCGGAATCTCTGACATTTCATTAAATTATTAAAGAGAAGAAGACGATTCGTTGTACCATTTTTTACTCTTAATCCGTTGTCTGAATTCAGTCCCCCCCCCCCCCCCCTCCCGCGCGAAGCGCGGAAGCTTTATTGTTTCATTACATTATTACAGAAAGATGACGATTCGTTGTACCGTTCTTGAATCTTAATCCTTGTCTAAATTCAGTTTTTTTTTACGTTTCATTATATTATTAGGGAAAGAAGACGATTCGTTGTACCGTTCTCGAATCTTAATCCTTGTTTGAATTCAGTTCCTTTAAGTTTCATTAAGTTATTAGAGAAAGAAGACGATTCGTTGTACCATTCTCGACTCTTAATCCTTGTTTGAATTCAGTTTCTTTTGAAGTTTCATTAAATTATTAGAGAAAGAAGACGATTCGTTGTACCATTCTCGACTCTTAATCCTTGTTTGAATTCAGTTTCTTTTGAAGTTTCATTAAATTATTAGAGAAAGAAGACGATTCGTTGTACCATTCTCGACTCTTAATCCTTGTCTGAATTCAGTCCCACCCCCCCCCCCTCCTCCCGCGCGAAGCGCGGAAACTTTGACGTTTCATTACATTATTAGAGAAAGATGATGATTTGTTGTACCGTTCTCGACTCTTAATCCTTTTTTTTTCCTACGTCCTCTTCCTTTCTTCTTTCTCTCTCTCTCTCTCTCTCTCTCTTGGGCCTGCGTTTTTTTTTTCTCGTTTTTTTTGTTTTGTTTTGAGGGGGCAATCGCCCCCCTGGCTTAGCGCCTGTATCCTCTCTGTCTCTCATTATCTCTCTCTCCCACTCTCTACTTCTTTTTTTTTTTTGCACTTTTGCGCTTCGCGCTTAACATTTAGCTCGTTGCTTTTCAAAGCTGCGGATTTGCATTTGGCGCACTGCATTTCTATAATGCCGTTGATTGAATAAATTGAATAATCAATTCCTGATGAAGCCGTATGAGCGAGAATTCCATTTATTCTTGTCTCATATACGGTTGTCTCATTTACATATGTTTTATGAAAATGAGATAGCAAAATGTGTATATTGATGGTCATCTTGCGAGTAATAACCATTAACTACTCTCTTCGGGCTCTCATCATTAATTTTTCTCTTCATTTTTTTTTTTTTTTTTTGATGGTGAATTATTGGGGGGGGGGATGATTGTACAGGCCACCCCCCCCCCCCCACCTGAAATATTGGGGGGATATATCCCCCCATCCCCCCCCCCCCCCCCGGGATCGACACCCATGCCTGTCTTACAAAATGCAATCGCATATCTTTTTTAAGACAGGCCCCAGATTGTTTTCTGATTTTAGCTGATGTACCTTACTAGATATATACTACTTCTCTATGACCTTACTCAAACAAGAACGACATGGGCGCCGTAGATGGCAGCAAATCGAAACCCAGTAGCGTTCATCTAGCTTGTCAACATGGCGAACTTCGATGTGCCTTCATGGTAAGAATGATGTCGGTGTTGAGCGTGCATATTTTCGCTTTGCTGGTTGAAGAATTCCCGTTCAATTTAATGTATGATGTGTTATTATTCATGGATGTTTGCATAATTGCATAAAGCGGTACATTCAAAAGTGAACATGATTTTTGGTTGACGGGCCTGGGCGACCAGGTCCCAGCAAATTGGTCATTTTTTGATGCAGTGCAGTGCAGTGTATCACTGCAGTGAAATCTGTATGCGTGAGGCAATCATGATCTTTCCTCATCCACTACTGTAGGCCCATATATGATAATTTGTGTATGTGGGAGGTGGGGGGGGGGGGGGGTCTTTTGCCCTTAGATTTAATGAATAATATCAAATAGCTTGCATGGTTGATAATATTTTCCCAACACAAGTTGTAAAAGATTCATGAAATATTGCTTGTAAACTTCTGCATATTGCTATGTTTAATTACATTTTTAAATCAACTGTCTGGATGTCAGGGGGGCCTGCGCCTAGCCTAGGCCGCGCAGGTCCGAGAATAAGGATCGTCCGCACAAACTAGGATCGTCTCTGTGAACAAAGACAGACGCGTCCGCACTTCGCTGACGATTCTCATTTCCGTTCCGCGCGTATGCGATGCGAAAAACTGGTTCAGCAATAATTTTCTTAATGCATTTTACATTGACTTTGTATGTAGATCTAGTTTGTACAGAGACTTTCTTGTTACGAGTGATAAATCCTTGGGAAGACGGACAACTCATGAAACTAAACGGTGAACTGGGGGTATTTTATTACATGGAATCCACGGTTCAGGAACCCAAAGCCCACAGAGCCCACGTCTGCAAAATGCGGACGATCCTCATTTTTCAGGACCCATTTTATCGGGTTAAATATACAAGGATATCCTCGTCTTTGTGGATGATCCTTATTCTCGGACTATAGTGCCCCTACTGGGTATACACAACCTGTCTGTTCAGACACACAATGTCTGGGAAAATATCGGTTTCAAATTTAGAGCCGAATTGATTACAATTTTGTAGCAACTTTAGAATACCCCTCCACAAAAATTTACTAGGGGGCCGTTTCTCAAAACCATCATAACTTCACAAGTCTAACTTCTTGGACGTCTTTCGAAAAACTGGCCCCAGACATTCGTCAATGGAGCTACATCTAAAGACTTTTTTAAAGTAACACTAAACCTAGTCGTAAGGGTCATTCCCAGCAATTCACCCAATATGGTTTTACCGGTAACCCAACCATTTAAACCGACTGAAGAGGCCTGAAGCCATTCATCCTGTTCACACTTTAGGCCTATATGAACTTCTTATTCTATTTCTATTCAAGTGCTGCTGACATTTAGGATGGATATATGACTAGAAAGAGCTACTAGTATATTATTGTAACTAATCATTAAAGTCTCTAAATTGGCTATTTGGTGTAAAATTATGAATATACAAATTCACATTTTCTTTCACTCTGGTTCATTTGATAACAAATATTTTTTTCAACTAGGAAGGAATAGAAAATATGATTAAATGTTGCCAATTTGAGGAGGTAAAACTGATGAATTTAGTAAAAAAGAAAACACTGAACTGTTTTACATGTAGGTTAAGAAATAGGGTCACATAAGTGTTATTAAGAAGCCTTTTTAACCATTTCATACATGTACATGTACAGTATATGAAACATCATTGTGATTGTTTGATTTCTAGGGCTGGTAAAGCTCCTGCTGGACTGCATCTTGATGTCATGAAAGATGGCAAGATGATAGAGGTGAGTAAATTGTCTTGGATGATTGATGTTAACCTTTGATATTATTGACGAGGTCTAAATCATTGGCCAGCTTTCATTAGTCTTCAACTGATCAAACATGAATTTTAGAGAAACATACTTGTATAATTTGGGATATCTGAAGTAAAAATTGTTAAGAAGTAGAAATGATATGTATGGAATCAGTTGTATTTGCATCCCTTTAAATATTCAACATTCTCTCTCCTTTTTTCTTCAGAAATGATGGTTGATGAGAAGAACTGTTATTACTTTGGACGTAACTCCATCGTGTGTAACTTCATCCTTGATCATTCGTCATGTTCCCGTGTTCATGCTGCACTACTCTGGCACAAGAATCTTAATAGATCATTTATTGTGGATCTAGGAAGCAGTAAGTAATTCAATGAAGAGGTTCATCTGATTGGGTGTACAACTGAAACAAAACAATAACCAAGGACAAAAAATGATGTCAATATACCTCTTAAATAGGCTGTAAGTGTTCTGTAAGTTTCTTCAGATCAATGTGTGGGCTTTAATACCTCAATCATGCTGCACCACAGTACATGTACATGTCAACTCCAAAATTACTGATTTCTTGGCCATCGGGGTGATTAATTTTGTTGTTTGGTCTGTTAGTCTTGTTTGTGTGACTATGGTATTATGTACATGAAGACTCTTGGTTGTAATATTCAATTGTCTATTTTAATAGATGACATGTTAACATTGTGCCAAGGCATTGGTCAGAAGAAGTGTGCTAAACAAAGCTCATCTGATGATTTTAATTCACTGATTTCTTGAAAATAAATCTTTGCAATAATGTGCTCTGTTTTCTACCAGTAGCCTCATGATCAAGGCGTTTTATACTGTCTCTCATTGCTAGTAAAGTAAAGCACCTTGAGAAGACATCAAGGCGTTGAATGTTAAATATGAGGCTTGACATTCAAGCTACAGCGTATTCTTGTTTTAAGATAAAAGTATTAGCTTTCCTTTGTTTAAAACTTTTTGATGAAGGAAGGATGCAACCCACATAAATTTTGCCCTAGAATGCTTGCATTTTCCAAAGAGAGTCAAAATGACCATCTTACAATGTAATTATTATTGTAAAAGGACTCCACACTAACATTTTTGGAAAGGGTTTTGATTAAACTTTTTCCAGTCTGTATGCATTAACCCTATGTGAAAAGTTCTAAATTTGGGAGGTCCAGACTTGGATTTCAGGTGCCTTATGTCTCCCCGGTGTTAAGCAGTGGAATGTTACAATTCATATTGGTGCAATTCGAGGGGTCAGTGACACAAAGACTTAACTCTATTTTGGCCATTTTGAGAAAAAGTGGTTTATGTGTCACTGAGCACTTGGGCCTTAACGAGTTAAGTCTATGTTTCACTAGCCATTGACTTCGATGGGGTGTTGGGTGGAGTTAAGTCACTGTGTTTCCTGGAAAGCCCACATTTTTCTGAGCATTTTGATATCAAAAACTCATTTTGGCAAAAATATGGAGTTATGTCTTTGTGTCACTAAACCCTTGAATTGTTCTTCCATTGTTAGAAAAGGTTGTATTCACTGTTATCATGGTTATTATTGATGAAGAGGTGTCGTGGTCGAATGGATATGTCACCGTGACCGGACTGTCTATCACAAAGTCCGTGGTTCGAGTCCCGCCGCGGCACTAATGTCCTTTGGCAAGACATTGATCTACATTTGCCACACTCAACCCAGGTGATGTAAATGGGTACCTGGCAGGAATTAATTCTTTGAAATGCTAGAGCATCGTTATGGCAGCAAAGCTAAAGCCGGGGTAATAATCTCAAAGTTTGAAGCGCTTAGTGATTGTAAGAAGCGCTATATAAAAAAAGACTGAGTATTATTATCATGGTTATTATTGATGTTATTCTTCTTGTTCAGCTCATGGAACCTTCCTAGGTTCAATCTGTCTTGAGATCCAGAAGCCTCAGCAGATCCCTGTAGACAGCGTGATCAGGTTTGGTGCTTCATCTCGCTCATACATCCTAAGAGAGAAACCACAGACCACTGTATCTGTTACAGTCAAACCATCTGATAGTGATGTCCTGGATAAGAATGAAGATGACATGTCGAGTGGTCTATTAGGACTACCGGAGGAAGAGAATGATGTAAGTAGCCACAAGTAAAAAAAACAGGAGTATAATGGTAGACCATTTAAGCTACATGTACACACTTTGTTTTCTTAGGATTAAAGTGCTTTACATGTAAATGAGTGTTTTAGGACAATTTCATGGGAACATTGCACTTTGTCAGAGCATGTGAATGGGTTCATTATATGATCTATTAGCACCTACATTGGGGGTGGATGTATATATCGTACAAAGCTGTCAGGCTGATTATGATAGATGCATGAACAGCCTTAACAAGAATAGATAGATCCTGTAATGAACGAATGAAACATCAATCATTTGTTTTATACCAAATCCTTGTTATTTGAATATTATATTTGAATTATATTTGAATACAAATATTAATTTCATGAACGTTTCATGTCACTATTACTGACAAATAAACCCCAAGTTTAATAGGCTTATTTTAGCACACACAGAAAAAAGTGCACTTACCTCTACACATGTCAATGTGCAGAGGGACGCACGCACAGTGTAAGCGCATAGATCTCTGCACACACACAGCGAGTAGTCTATTCACATGTCACTTAAGTAATATTGTGTTTTTAATATAACCATGTGGAACTCGTAACATACCGGGTAAAGAAAAAAAATACATATTGGGAATTTGAACACTTTAATTTACCATTAGGCAAATTTTTTAGTGCTAATAATGTGACACAGAAGATGTTTTATATTATGAAGTCCTTTGCTACTATTATGTACTACTATGTAGGGTGCTGTCATCGGGAACCAACGTACAGAAGTTGTTTGTTGTTTGTTTTAAAGGGGGGAAAAAGTAACTAGAAAAAAAGGCTTAAGCTCAGAATACATCAACCATTTTTCTGCTGCTTTTTTAATTTACTCTTTTCTCTCTTGTGTTAAACAAGGTACTTGTTAAAAAGATAAAATTGAAAACCATCTTCTTTTGATAGGATTAAAACATAATGGTTATCAATTAGCTTGTTATAATAACTCTTGAAGATTTTAAGTCATTGAGTTAGATTAATTTATTTATAACTTAGAAATAATGAACATATATTTGTGTTATTGCTACCCATACAATTTCTGAGCTGACTTGAAGGGATGGATTGTAGATTGTAGATAAATGTACGTTTGATGTAAATATGTGCTGTCATGAATTATTTCATTTTTCCTCAGAACCTGACTGAATTCAATACTGTACATAACAAGAGGATAGGAGCTATAGGCTTTGATGAAGCCCAAGAATCACAAAGGACCAAGAGGAAAAGAAGACACTCACATGTCTCTTTCGGAGAAGAAGATGAAGTTATTAATCCAGGTAATGTATTAATCCATTGTTGCCTATGGGAGCCGTATGGCTCCTGTGTAAACTCCTTAAAGGGCGATCCAACCTTTGGAATAATTTCATCGTATAAGAGCAGAAAAATAAGAGAAACAGAATGGCGAAAGTGACATAAATCAGACAAATATTAAGAGGGTAATGAATTTTTGAAATATAACATTATTTTTCTATGCGATTCTCAAATTTGCTCTTTGGTCAGAGGATTTGTGACATAGTCCTAGACAACTTCTGTTGTCTGTTGTACAAAAAGATCTTTGATTTCTGGGTTTTTTTTTCCCTCCCATGTGCCTGCACTCATGAAGTATATGGATAGCGTAGTGTTATAGATTATCTCAAGAGAAAAGACCCTCCTGAGCCGTACAGTTTGAAAAATTTACAGTTTGGTAATTTTCTGCAAATGGGATAGTTGTCCCGCATTAGTAACATTAGTGACATTACCAATGCAGCCAAAAGCCCATAGGTGTCTAAAAAGTAAGGTGGTCCAGAGTGTGCCTAGGCAAACCGCACCATATCTTGACAAGCGCCTGAACGCAAAATGATCTGTAGCATAGCATGTACCAGAAGTGATCGAGCATGCCAAATTGCAAACGTTGTAGTTGTACCAAATTAGTAGGCCTGGACGTTTGCAGAATGAACCACCTTGCACCATACGCACTGGAGCACCATTGGTTGGTAGAGTACGATTCGCTTTCAAAATCGCTTGAACATACCCTAAGATGCCTTTACCTTCACAGGACTATACTTCTGTATTTCCAATTTCTTTTCTTTTTTACAGAGGATGTAGACCCATCGATTGGCAGATTTAGGAATCTTGTATCTGTATCAGTGATCCCGATGAAGGTAACTTCTCAATGTGTATGGCATTTAAATAAGGCAACAAATCATTTAAACAAATTTAATCAATGTATCTTGGAATGGAATGGTGGTGCACATCTCAATAATGACATAACTTCCATGAACACACTTACATGTACATAGTTCTGTGTTGGTTGATTTCTTAATATAAGATTCTCATATAAAGCAAAAACTATTTTGATATGGGCACCAACGTTTCATTCCAGTTAAGAAATTGGCAGCTCTGTGACGTGTCTTACGAGCTCCCCTTCTATTTGCTCTGTATTGATTGACTTCCCCTTTCACCATAGATTAGAAATTAGAGAAGTTTGATTGCTCAACCAGCCCCACTCACTTGTAACCTGTAATTTAGAAGAAAAAATGTCAACTGTCCATATGCAGATTACAATAGTAATACATGATTTTGTTGAGGCAACTACAATACAGATCCGTCATCCCAGTTCATACATGGATGCTAATTCTGTGTTATTTGAGTTTTAATTGAGTTTCAGTCCAGTCAAAATGCATAACATGTATGTAAAACCATACAAAATCTGGCTTATGATAATTTTTATTATTCAAGCAATTTTAATCTTCATTGCAGACAGTCAGATACATGTATGTAGTTGGAAATTGAATGATGCTTTGGGAGGACTTGAAAATATTGTTGTTCTCGTTATTTTGTTTGTTGGTTTTGTGTGGTTGGTTTTTCCGCAGCTTTTCTAACAAAATTCACTTCCTTTTTTAACTCTTACAGAAGAAAAAGATGGAGGATTCATCCGGTCTTGTTGGTGATCCGTCAGTGAAAACAATGCAAGGATTTAACTATGGTCCCAATCTTTATGATAACTTACCTTTGTCAAGTGGTGATCCTAACTCAGAGACACCTTTATCACCATCATCTATGACTCCGTTTGGATCAAGTAGTACCCTAGGACTGTTCAAACCTCTCAATCTGGCTCCAGACGTAGAGCAAGCACCTCCCATGCCAACCATAAACATTGCACCTACACCTGTACCTGTGGCTAGCATTGGACCAGTAGGACCCAAGAAGAAGAAGTACGCCAAGGAGGCATGGCCGGGAAAGAAACAAGCGCCCTCGCTCTTGTTATAGTGAGAAGATCGCCATGGCAACAGACTGATTTGTAAATGGAATTCATCATTTCTTGGCGGGACACACTCTTGTCATTTGTTTCATTCAGAATTGTTCTTGTTGATGCTGCAGTAAGGAGTGTACATTGCGCATGTGAAGGTTTTGTAAAATGTGTATTATTTGTATGCCATAGGAGGTATTATTAGAAATGGTTCAATCAATTTCAAAATAGCAATTTTGATTTTCAAATGGTGTAAGAGTAACCAGATACTTGTAGCTAGTCTTTCTCTGGGACATCTTTCAAACTACATGTAAGTCGGTCAGGAAAAATAGGAAAAACACTAAGCACATTAATCAATCTCACTGGAGCTAAATATTGATATATTGCTGTTCTTTGTGATACGTTTGCATACTTTTACTACTGTATGATTTAGTCTGTATACAAACACAAGGTTTAACCCTTTAAGGGGCAGTGGAGGGGGCAGGATCAGCCCGCTTTCCCATTTTCTAGTTATCACGATATCTCAATAACAACTTGAGGTATGAACTTCAAATTGGTGATAGTGTGTATCAACTTAAGAAGACAATCTGATAAGATTTTGGGGTAAGCAGGTGAAAGGTCATAGAGGTCAATATCCACAAAATGTCATTTTTTGCCGTGTTTTCGCAATGTCTCAGGTGCGAGTTGAGCCATGAACATGGTACTAGTGTACATCACCATAGTGAGACAAAATGATTAGATAATTGGGTAAAAGAAGGTCAGATGTCAAAGGTCAGCAAGTCATGAAATTAAAGATTGTTTTACCTTGTTATGACCAAATCAATGACTATTCTAAGCTATTTTAGTTGTGAACTTAAAACCTGTAACTAGTATGGATCACTTTAGAGGGACAAGTGATCAGATTTGTTGATTGTCAGGTCAAAGATCATGAAGGCCAATCAGCATAATATATTAGTATAGGCTTTTTGCTCTCATCGTGATATTCCAAGAATAATTCAAGCCAGGATCTTGCATTTGTCTTGTTTTTAGTAAGTTTTGGGACAATCCATCAGATGTAATGTAATGCTTAAAATAATCTTTAAAAAATCTTTAAATTTAACGAACTCTTTCTTTTTTATGATACCAGAAATCTATCTAGTACTTGAATCACAAATTGACTCGGCAAAAAGCCTTAATTATCTTTCCTACTTTCCAAGACACCCTTTGCAACCATTTTTGACTGAATAAGATTATGAGGAATGGCAGATGTGAACAATTTGTATTGTGCTTTGAATTCATGTTAGCAACTGTCCTTATGTATGTGTCATCAAAACATACCTGAATAGTTACTTCTTAGGCGGTATCGATTTGGAATTATTTTACAGTTATCTTTATTAGCAGTGGTACAAAATAAATTTTGTGTGGCACATACAGAATACAGAGATTTTACAATCCTACAAAGTGAAAGGCATACTGATGCTCACTGTGTGAAGGGGGTTATAATGCAGGAATATCAGATTGAAGGCTATTGCCTAATTTCAAGTTCGGTTTCCTCTCTGTTTTAGGCTTTATATTGCCCAGAATATTGGAGCTCTAACCTGTCTCAGGCTATTTTCAGGCTTATTGAATTAAACCAAGGATATCCCTGCCCAACCAATGCTACATTCAGCTACACAATGCGTAAAATTTGTCATTAGAGTTAGTAGTTTGTCTCATATTCTACAACCTTTACTTGTGTTTAGTGTTGGAATCTATAGTGTAGTATTTGGGGCTTGTTATGTACATGTATTTTAAACTCTGTAATATTTGCTTTTGCCACAACAGGTTTGTAAAAAAAATAATAATAATAAAGATGTTACAAAGTGCAAGATTTTTAGTTACAGTAATGTTGTTTTTTATGGAGGTTGTCATTAGTTTCATATGCTTAAAATACCACATACTTATAGAAATTGCTTATTTTGTGCAAACATTTCTTTACTCACACAAAATCATTAAAACACTAATGAAATTGGAATTACCTAAAGTGTCCACATGGTTATTAGTGCAATAAGTTATCTCTTAAATATAAACAAAACTCGTTTTATACCCTTCAAACACCCCCAATGTACACCAAACAGCAGATATGACAATTAATTTATTGATTAATACTTGCCCTTAAAACAAAAAAGTAACTCTAGATTTCTCTGAGTGATTTATTGATGAATGTCTAACATGGAATGGCCATTTACATAATATTACAACATCTATATCTAATGGTGTAGGAATTATCTATGAAATGAAAACAATTTTAACTAAACAGATTCTGTTCGTATTGTATAATTCAATGGTACATCCATATATTAATTATTGAAATATTGTTTTGGCAAGTTGCATAAACAAAACTAAATCCCATCTATTTTTTTGAAAAGAAAAAGCGTCCTCCGCCATTCCACAACACGTTTGTTATAAACTCTACAATCCATTCTTATCTGACACAAAACTCAGAACTGAACTTTCATTTGATAAACCCCATATTGCTAATTGCTTAAACCTAACGGACACCATGGCCCTGACCTATGGAATAGTCTCCCAAGTACTGTTAAATTATGAACTATGATCTATTCTTCCAAGGCTAGCATGAAGCGTAAATTGTTATCAGCATACAATTACAAATAATAAAAGTCAAGGTTTCTAAACGCAAGCACTCGCGCACACAGTTGCACATGCACATACATAAACAAGAACATAACACGTTTCACAAAAGACATAATTATACACAATTAAAGTTGACTCATTTCATTTTAAGCCTTTTTAGAACATCCATTTCCTTCATTATGTTGCTGTTATAATTAATTTCTTTCTGATTATATATAAAGGTATTGTATGTTTGGTCCCCCATATTATAGGTTCCTTTCCTGAGGCTGCCATCACGTTCCCAAACTCTAGCTTAAGATGGCGATCTCCTGCATTTTTCAACTATATTTTGTTTGTTAATGTATGATTATTTAATTGATTTATACTATGATATGATTTAAGATGTATTTTGACTTGTGTTAATAATTACAATTATGTACCTAGTTCGTATATTTTCCCTTGCCAACATCCAATGCAGTTTGCAAAACCATTGATGTAGCCCTTTGTTAAAGTTGACAAAAGCACTGTGCCCAGAATGTATAAAGCCTAGTATTATAATTCATGGTTGTTTGAATGAAACAACTTTAACCTGTGTCTGGAGATTTCGATATACAGTGCGTCCCAGAAAAAACGAAACCGAGAATTATCAATGGTTTATCATAACTTAATCACAATTATAATTGATAAATGACACATATTTGTTAACCGTAGATCCTCTTTCATTTGATGCGACTCATATGATACACATTTCATGCATGAGTGATTAAAAACAACTGGAAGAGAGGTTACCAAAAAGTCATTTGATAGTTCTGATGGACTCATAGTTAATTTAGATAGTTTGGTTTGGTAATTTTTGCTCAATCAAGCTCCACTTGACCCCCCCCCCCCCCCCCCCCCCCCATGAACTTTGATGTGACCTTCTTGGGTTTGAACTTTCATTTGCACTTGACAGTGTTTTCATTAGAGCCAGACCAATCCAATTCTTGTTTGGAGGCATTTCCTGAAATGAACCTTGCGCAAACATTAAGATAACAATTCTGTCGTGAATGGATGTGAGAAACATTGCTTCTCACTTGAATTTGACAGGAAATTGAATATGTTTGCCATTTACATCGCAAATTATCTTTTCAGTAGTAACTTTCACTGAATATGTAAGAAAGTTTAAGGACAAGTATTATAGCAGGCATGATTGTTTTGCCAATCAGGGTACTAGTTCAGGAAAACTTTTGGACTTGTTTCCAAAATATTTTCATATTTAAATGCCTAAGGTATGAACTTTCCTATACTTCTTCTATATTCATCGGTGAGGGGTTGTGCCTGCATATAAGGAGAGAACTACCTTTCTGACTATTCATCATATCTAACAGTAACTTGTAGTGTCACTTGTCCTAATCATGAAGGTTTCTAGTTCACCGTCTCTTTAAAACTTGGCCAGCTTAATGAAGCAAATACATAATGGTAAAATTCCATGATTTCATATGAGTTATAAAAAATGATAGTAATAATAGTAATAATGATAATAATAATGACATGAATTAGATCAATATATATTTATATATAGTGCAGCTACTACATGTATATGAATATTCCCTTCTTGGCTGTGATGGAAACAAAAACTAACAGTGCTACATTGAAGACACACGACCAAAATCTATTCAAAAGCTTCTGAACACAAGTGCATTTTTTAACAAAACTTTGCAGAAAGCAACAGATGATGCAGTCTTCAGAGAGCCAGTCGAGCATTAACATGTTATTACTTTAGAGATCCCTTCTGGCTCACTAGAGTCAATATGTACTGAACAGTCCTTTTTTATAATTATTTATTGTGACAGCACAATACCTATGTAGAAATGTGTAAAAACCTGTCAAATAGCTTGATCCCCTTATCAAACTGACAATAGGAATTTGTATATAATAAACTGTATTATACATTTGGTACAAAATAGTTACATTGTTTTACTTATCTATGTTTCATTGTGGAAGATATAGGGATGTGTATGTACACTTGGGGTGATATTCTCGAAAGCGGACTAACTTTAGTCCATGGTTTAATCCACCGACTAAGTATGGAATGCCAAGTGTCCATATGAATATATTTTTGAAATAATTTGATATGTCCCTCAATTACCATGATAACATAATTATATCATAGTTATATTGTTGTTTATTAATTATTTTATTACATTTTATTTTAATTTAGTTACAGATTAAATTATTCAAAAACATATTCATATAGACACTTGGCATTCCATACTTAGACGGTGGATCAAACCATGGACTAAGGTTAGTCCGCTTTCGAGAATACCACCCTTGAAGTTTATATTTGTGAGAAAGAGTTGGGTAGCTCATCCCCCCCCCCCCCCCCCATAAAGATGAATGGTCTGAGAATGTACATTTTCCCATTTTCGTTTGGTTTGGGGACCGCTCCCCCCCCCCCCCATTTCCCCCTCCATTTTGCCATTATGTCTTTGTACAAGTATATATTATTTTTTTTGCTGTTGTTCTTCTGTTGCCTGCTTGCTTGTTAGAAAATTTTGTCCTGTTCCTCCATTCAAAACATTGTAGCGTCGACCTTGTGTGCCTACTACATCGATCACATTATCTTAATTGACTCATTCAATAAGATCTTAGCGAAACTTGCTAATGTCTTTCAAGTACCTAGTAAGAGAAAGCACCTTAATAATAAATATATCCACGCCACGAAGTATGCAAGCACTTGGCGCTACTTTTGAAATTATGAAAAGAATTCTATGTCGGTAACATTACAAATATCTAAAAATATTTAACCAAACATGAAAAGAAGCTCGCATGCGTATGCCGTGAACCATTTTTTCCCTTTTTTTTCTTTTCGTTTTTCTTTCTCACATAATGTTGAAAAAGAGAATTTCTATGACAATGGGTGAACGACATTGCCATGACCTTAATGCCTTCAGGATCGGAGTAATTCAAAAGGTTCGGATTTTATCGAGGGAACTTTACCCCGTGTGAAACTACTCTGCTTCCATTAAAGGACAGATCGACTATGACTGGCCTTTGAATGAACCGTACTCTCAATCTCACTTTCTTTCCCCTCCCTCTCCATGTCTTGCTTGGCTCTCCTATACCGCCTCTGATACATTCTTTTGTAATTGTTCATTCAAAGTCATTACTACTCTCGTGCATCTCTTGTCATTAGATGTATATTGCATGACCTGATATGTGTCGCAAACATGAAGTTGCATGTGTCTTCGATATCTCATCTCAAGAACTATTAATACCCCTCAGAAAATTGGAAACTCAATTTTTATCGATTACATCATCAATAGTTCGTTTAATAAGTGTGTTTATTCCTAATTAAGATTATACCATATTTTGTATGATTTGCGGCCATGCATGGAGTAAACAGTATATTAAATTACGTGGCAGGCCGGGTCAATAGTGAAAAGTTGCAGAATCCACAAGTAGACACGGGTAATGTTATGCAGAGAACTCTTCTTTCTTTGACATAAGTGTGATTTTTCGTAAATGTCTGTGGGGCTAAATTATAAAGAATCTGAAAATGAAATTCTTGCACTATGGTGACACGTTGGGCAAGATTAGCTTCTATCTGGTCATCAACTTTCTGAGGCAGCATGCATCATTCAACAAATGTTGAAAGCAGGAATTCTATAATAATATGTTAAAGCGCCTTTTTTTTCGACAGAGATGAATTCATGTGAAATGAAATGTATTTCGTGCTTGTTTAGTGCTTGCATGTTTATTCAACGTTATACTTTATGCATGTTTGTATTATTTCAGAGTGTATGTTTCTCATCTGTAAACACAACAGCCCTTTACTTTTCAAAGAAAGAAGAATGCACAGCCGAACAAGAGCAGTGCATTTTCCAACTTTTCGCTTTTGACCTTACTACTTATTATGAGCTACAGAAGATTCCATGCCTGGAAATCCCCCCGAAATTGGTTAATTATTTCTTATTAATATTTCATCTTCCCAAGTACAGCAGCACCCCCTTCTCGGTATAAGAGCAGCCTTTCAAATCGGAGTACCTGGGAATTTAAACAAAATTAAATAGATGTTCTTCAGCATTTCTGGTGCTCCAGAAGAAGGAGCTGAAGGATATCCACGAGGAGCTGGTGGCAACATAGGGAACAATGCTTGCCTACTCCACAGTAAAGAAATGGGTAGCTCTCTTCAAAGTCGGGCTATATGAACTAATTGAACGCTCCTCGTATAGGCCTACGAATGTACCTGCCATAACCCGGATTTCATAGCTGTCTCAAAGAGGACGTACATGTACATGTAAGTTTATTCTAACTGTTCATATTAAACTTTTCAATGTGATTTTTATGGCTTATTCAAATTGCCTTAGATAATAAACAGAACAGATAAGAAAAAATTATCGGTAACACGGAAAATAGTAAGAATATTTTGAATGTTTTATTGTTACGGTTTTTCACTAATATGGGAATCTCATGCAACACAAACGATATCAAAATAAGCATTTCGCACAACACAATTTTCTCAATGTCATGAGTCATGAAACTTCTTTAAAGTTTGACTAAATATAAGTAGGCCTACAGGTTCGTATAAAAATATAGTCCAACAATATAAAACAGCAAAAACAATTCTCTGCAAAGCGATTAGCGATTTTCCCTCGATATATCATTCTCGGGCAGGTGGGGGGGGGGGGGGGGGGGTCTTTAAAAAAAAAAACGGCTCACTATTGGATTGTGTAAGCAATATTGTGTGAATTTTAGACCTAACAAATTCTTTATTTTTTCTCATATATATATATATATATATATACTTTTCAAAACTGCGAACTAAAGAACAGTTGTGATTATGATGCATTTAAATGCTAATTGTATTGGAGGAGCTCGCGCCTTTGAATGTTTTCTGAAACAGATATATGGCGCCATACAAATGCTGTTCATCATCATCATCATCATCATCATAGAGAGTGGAAATGTAAACATCATTAGGCAGAGGGTAATACTTAGGACGATAAAAGGCTGTCGCTAGCGTGTGAAAAATTATTGGTATTCTACATTCGTTCACTTGTTTGGTCTGAAAACATGCTTTTATGAAAACATTCCCACAAAAGGACCTATTTCCTACTTTCTGAATGTCATTCCTTGGTGATTTTCACATTCTTTTGACTTGGCTTGTTCAAACAATTTAGAGGTAATTATTCCTCATTCTAACTGAGAAGGTTTCAAACTGTGTAGGTAAAAGCCAGTAAGCCCCCCCCCCCCCCTCCCCCGCCGCCCGCTACACATACGATACAATTTATAGAAATCAAGCAACTTCGCGCGAAAGAAAACAAAAACATAGCGTATGGAAAAATACAAAATCAAAGTTTAACCCTATCGAAGAAAGATTATTCTACATTTTACTGCTCTATATTATATCTGATGTTTTTTTCATTCTCTGCTACACAATAACTATGAAAACAATTTTTTGTTGTAATATTGGTAATGAATATTTTTTCATAATATTGTTAGAAAGTAGGCATAACAATAATGAGCGTCGATAAGTGTTTCTACATTGATGCTGAATCTACTGCTATCAATTATCTAATCATTTAAGGTGCTAACAAGTATCTCAAAAAATGCCTCCCTTCACTTTTTATACGTATTAATTTATTTTTGTTTTCATCTTTGTCACTCATTTCTCCTTCGAACCTTACTTTTTCTTCCTCTCCTTTTAGACTTCCCATTTTTTCTCCCTTTTTTCTTTTCTTTCCCTTTTTTCTTTTCTTTTACATTGTCATCATCGTCATTTGCATTTGCTATGTTAACTGAACATTGATTATTAACTAACTTATGAAGTAGCCATTCTGTAAAATGATGACAGTTATTCCATAAGAGATGGTATTCATGTTGAGCCTGTTGTATAGCAGCCATGTCTTCGGCCTCCTTCATAGTGCACTTACTCTGTCCAATACGGGTCCATGTAACCGGACAATCCTCAGCCATCCTCCCGACACCTCCCCTTGCATACATCAAGTCATTACCCGGGCCAAACTCAAAGCACTTGCCACGGAAGAGAACGAGAGAGTGATCGAGACTGTACTTGTTGATGTCGACATCGTCTAAAGTTTCTCGTCGTCGCCGTCGTTTATCTTCTGGTTCGTCGGAGTGGTATGATGATTCGGGTATGCCGCACCAGAAATTGATGAACTCCACAGACCCTTGCCATACTTCCAAAAACTCTCCTTTATGCAGAAATGGAAAAATTGAAATATACATTGATTTGAGAAATTATTAGGTTTAAATGATTTAAGGCATTATTTTGCTACAATTCATTGTGATTATTAAAAAAAAACGTCAACACTCACTATTTCATCGTTCTCACTTGCTGTATATACTCTTCGAAATCAGTTATTATCTAATCGTCACAACTAACTATCCAACCTTCACCACTATCTCACTCTTTTCATCCCTGTCTAACTCATCGTCATCTCTATTTATCTCATCGTCACCACTTTCTATCTGCTCGTTATCCCTATCTACTCATCGTCACTACTATCTAACTCATCGTCTCCACTATCAACTCATCGTCTCCACTATCAACTTATCGTAATTACCGTCTAACTCATCCAGGGGCGTACGCAGGATTTTTTCAAGGGGGGGGGGGGGGGGTTTTGCTCCCGAAAATTTGAAAATCGCGCCGGCCGAAAAGTCGCTCAGTGGGGGGGGGGGGGGGGGGGGGGGTAAGCGGACACTTTTTTAAAAATTTTTTTGGAGTCCAAAAAAAATCGCAACGACTCAGCCAGCCGAAAAGTCGCTCAGTGGGGGGGGGGGCAAGCGGACACTTTTTTTTTTTTTTTGGTCTCGAAATTTCAAAATTTGACATTTCCTTCGTTGGGGGGGGGGGTTAAGGTCACCTTTTTTAGGTTAACCGTGGGTATAATTTTTTTTTTTTTTTTTTTTTTTTTTTAATAATTAAAAAAAAAAAAAAAAAAAAAAAAACCAAGGGGGGGGGGGGGGGGGGTTTTGGTTTTTTTTAGGGGGGTTTACATACATAAAAATACCAAGGGGGGGGGGTTTGAACCCCCAACCCCCCCCCCCCCTGCGTACGCCCCTGAACTCATCAACACCACTATCTAACTAATCTTCACGAGTATCAATTTCATCGTCATCCCTATTTATCTCATCGTCATCCCTATCTATCTCATTCTTACTACTATCTAACTCATCGGCTCCACTATCTAACCTATCGTCACCACCATCCAAACCATCATCACCACTATCTAACTAATCGTCACGACTATCCATCTCATCTTCGTCACTTTCTATCTCAGCTTCATCACTATATATCTCACCGTCACTATTTACCCATCATTGCTAGATCTTCATCTATATCTATCTCGTCGTCACCATTATCTATCTCATCGTCACCACTATCTAACCCTCGTTATCCCTACATATCTCACCGTCACCACTATCTCACTAATCATCATCACTATCTAGCTCATCTTCATCTACATCTATCTCGTCGCCACCATTTTCTATCTCATCGTCACCACTATCTAACCCTCGTTATCCCTACATATCTCACCGTCACCACTATCTCACTAATCATCATCACTATCTAGCTCATCTTCATCTACATCTATCTCGTCGTCACCACTTTCTATCTCATCGTCACCACTATCTAACCCTCGTTATCCCTACATATCTCACCGTCACCACTATCTCACTAATCATCATCACTATCTAGCTCATCTTCATCTACATCTATCTCGTCGTCACCACTTTCTATCTCATCGTCACCACTATCTAAAACATCATCATCACTATGTAGCTCACTGTCACAATTTACATATAATTACTAGATCTTCCTCGCTATCTACCTCATCGTCATCTCTATCTATTTCTTCGTCACCACTATCTATCTTATCTTCACAACTATGTAGCCCATCGTCACCACTATCTTACTTATCGCCACCACTATCCTACTTATCGTCACCACTATGTAGCCCATCGTCACCACTATCCTACTTATCGTCACCACTATCTTACTCATCGTCACCACTATCTATCTTATCTTCACAACTATGTAGCCCATCGTCACCACTATCTTACTTATCGCCACCACTATCCTACTTATCGTCACCACTATGTAGCCCATCGTCACCACTATCTATCTCATCGTTACCACTATCTTGCTCATCGTCACCACTATCTTACTTATCGTCACCACTATCTATCTCATCTTCAACACTATGTAGCCCATCGTCACACCTATCTTACTCATCGTCACCACTATGTAGCCCATCGTCACCACTATCCTACGTATTGCCACCACTATCTTACTCATCGTCACCACTATGTAGCCCATCGTCACCACTATGTAGCCCATCGTCACCACTATGTAGCCCATCGTCACCACTATCCTACTTATCGCCACCACTATCTATCTCATCGTCACCACTATGTAGCCCATCGTCACCACTATCTTACTTATCGTCACCACTATCTTACTTATCGTCACCACTATCTTACTTATCGTCACCACTATCTATCTCATCGTCACCACTATGTAGCCCATCGTCACCACTATCCTACTTATCGCCACCACTGTCTACCTCATCGTCACAACCATCTGACTGACGCATCGTCAACCCTATTCAGCTCACCGTCACTATTTACATATCATTACTTAATCGTCATCACTATCTATCTCAGCGTCATCTGTATTTATTACTTTGTCACCAATATCTATCTCATTTTTAGCGCTATCTATCTCAACGTCATCACTTTCTAACTCATTGCACCACTATCGTACTTATCGCCACTACAATCTAGTTCATCATCGTCATGCCTTTCTAACTCATCGTCACCACTATGAAGCTCACAATCATCACTATTTACTCATCATTATTATATCGTCATCACCACTCGTTAATCATTGACTACGACTTCATTTGGATTAGAAATTGAAAGAGAGTAATATTTGGACTTTCATATTTGTATCCTTTTCCTAATTGAGATTCTAAATTGAAATATCGACATTTTCGGGAAAGTTTGGGCTTTCCGCCATGTTTAGTTGGCTAAAAGGCTCGATCGACTCAAATTTGAGATACCACACAACTAGTCACTATCTGCTAAACGACTGACAGCCCATTCCCCGAAATTTAAAACAAATACTTAAAGATTCCTTTGTACCTCTATAAGGAAGAACTTACATATTTAATTTGTAAATATAATCCTGCTGCAGTATCATTCAAAATCCGTTCACATTCAATTCATGAGGGGTGCCTTGGCCATATTGAATGCTGAATCTATTATTAACCAGAATATTCTAATATAGCAATGTTGAAATTCGAGTGTTACCGCATATGTAATTATTTTACTAACGGAATTGCGGGGGAAATACTTTTCCTCCCTCTTTTAAATTTAAGATGATAAATCTGTCCTCATTTCCAGCGCCTGTATATGGATATTTGATATTTCCTATCATCAAAATCGACAACTTCATTATGAGATTCAGCAAAATAATATTGACGATTCTTTCGGTGTCTACTGTAGTTATTGAATAAAAAATATCAGCAACTTTGATGAAATGAAAAGAAATGATTTACCATCACCATCGTAGGAGTTGGGTTTCAATGTAGAGTCTGTACTCATTGAAATGCATCCGTGTATGACAGCGATCGTAATCATCGATGTCGTGATGAACATCGCTAGTGACATCGTGCTCCTGTACGAAATCATTGTCGTTGATGAGGCAGTATAACTTGATTAAGTTTTTATTCCACTCGGTGATATTATTCTCAACCAAATCTGGAGTTGAAGTTGATTATTAAATCATATAATCTTATGCCACATATACGTATCACTATGCAGGTATGTAGAAGGGCGTTAACGGAGAAACGTTCCTGTGCATGTAATATAAGAATAATACCACAATCAAGGTAAATAAATGACTCTTGTAGTCACCATACCGGTCTCACACTCATGAACTCATGAACTTTTCATTACCTCTCTCTTAATGAAAGTGCGAATAGTTTCTAGGAGTTTGATTGACCCGAATGGCAAGCTCAGAGAAGCTCTAAGCTTTCTATTCTGTTTGAGAGGGTAGGGTGCAACTTCCATAGTGCATAGCAGGGGCGGATATAGGGGGTCGGTCCCCCCCCCCCCTTGGGCGGCCAAGTGAAGAAGAAAAAAAAGTGGGAATTTTTTTTTTTTAAATATTTAAAAAAGTAAAAGAGTAAAACGGCACAATTTTGGGAAAATCCATGAGCCACTACTGGGTCAACCCCCCCCCTTGCAAAAAGCTAGATCCGCCCCTGCATAGATATGGCAACAAGTCTTCATGGATTTTGCGCGGGTCGGCTAATATTGTGCTGGGACGTTCTTGGTAATCAAATGCAGCAAACCAGGCGCGGATCCAGGATTTCTTAGGGGAGGGGGCCCAACTTTTTTTTTTTTTTTGCTCCCGAAAATTTGAAGATCGCGCCGGCCGAAAAGTCGCTCAGTGGGGGGGGGGGGGGGGGGGGGGCGGAGGTACAAAATACAATTTTTTTTTTTTTTTTTTTTTTGCTCCCGAAAATTTGAAAAAACACGCCGGCCAGAAATTCGCTCAGTGGGGGGGGGGGGGGGGGGGGGGGGGGGGGGGGGGGGGGGGGGGGTAGTGAGCACATTTTTTTTTTGATCCTCAAAAAAATTTCAATTTGCACCCCCCCCCCCAAAAAAAAGGTAAAAATCACGTGATTTTACATGATTTTTTTCTCAAGGGGGGGGGGGCCGGGCCCCCCGGGCCCCCCCCCCCTGGATCCGCCACTGAGCAAACATCTTTTTCATCGCTTGAGGTAATGGGAGATCGTTAATAGTTGAAATTCAATGCACTAAAACGGACTCTCTTGTCGATTATTCCTCACTCTAAAAAGCAAAGAATAAGACTGGATGACGCCCCCCCCCCCTCACTGGGGTCTAAGTAGCACAAAGTGCACTGTTATCTTTCTATTTAGATTATATGTATTTAACTATTCCCCCGTCTTCTCTCCACCATGCAACGCTCTTCCCCAACCCCTATCTTTCTCTTCTCTCTCACATGGCTCTCCCCATTGACATCTTCTCTCTCTCTCTCTCTTTCACTCTCTCTCTCTCTCTCTCTTCCTCTCTTTCTTTTTTCTATCAGTCTCCATATCTCACCTGTCCCTTCTTTCGTTTTCCTCTTTCTCCATATCTCTGCCTCTCGTGTTCTTTCTCCTATCCCCTCTTTCTCTAGATCTCTAGTTGCGCTCTTTGTTTCTCCCTCTCTTTAGGCTCACCCCCCTCTCTCTTCCTCTCTTTATCCCAATCTCTTTATCCCTCCCTCACTCATATAGCCTCTCTCTCTTACTTCTATGATAATATAACTTAATTAGTTTTTCTCCACCTTTTGTGATATCGCAATAATTATGAAATATAATGCATTTGCTTTCATCAGAGGGCGTCCTAAAGCTTCGTTAGGCAAGACAGAATGTGCATCATGTCCAACCGGTCCATATATGCGTATAATTGGGCCGGTTGATGTTTATGGAAAATGGGAAATAATTGTCACTGATTTTGGCCATTTGTCAAAACTTTCCACCACTCGAATTTCTTAGAAATGTTGGCATGTTATTCGGTGCATTTTTATGATACGTTTCTGTTGTAATAAGTGGGAGTTTCCTTTGAAGAAAGACTATCAGTTTGCGTGATTGAAAAAAAAAATCACTAAACGCGATATAAATATTGACAAATTCCTGGACAATTTTTTTAGCTGATGGAGGGGTTTATTTCGTAGTCTATTATCGTAATATGGATTTATTTTGAGCCAAAGCCATAAATTCGTTAACTCAACTTTTTATAACCTTTTATGATGAAACCAGATTTTCATAGCTATTTATATTCATAATAGATTGTTTAATGTAAAAGAAAAAATGAAACTCGAAAACAAACGGATTTGTGAAAAAGAAATATAATTCCTTGCTTTTCATAACGCCGCATTGATATGCTTTCAAATGATTCATTGATGAAATTAATCCATACACGCTTTACTGAGCCAAATTATCTTGATAGGGGCATATCAAAACCCACTTGAGTCAGATTTGGGTTAAAGAGTGAACATGGTTGAAAACGTTACTCTATCACACGCGAACATGATATACCATATATATGTATAAGCTTTAACACCGAATGATAATATTGTTTTAAAAATGAGGGCAAAATTGCCATCATCCTGAACTAAAGGATAGAAGAGATATGGTCGATGATGAGGGTAAAAAGGGCATATTTTATACTTGAATGGGTCTGCAATCGACATGAACAGTAATGTTAGCATTTATTTCAGAACTGCAACTTTTTTTAAAAGAGCAAAGCAGACAGTCTGTTGATATTTTCACAAAAAACCTTTCATCTTGACTTGTTATAATGGGGAAAAGTGTGGTATAATGGGTTAGGTGGTGTCTAATGGGCATCTGAGGCAGAACATAAACCATCAGAATATGTAATTTTTCCTCTCAGGCCGGGTGGGCATCATTTTCAATCGAAATTAGAGACAGACAGACACACAAAGAGAGAGAGATAGAGAGAGAGAAGAGAGAGAGAGAGAGAGAGAGAGAGAGAGAGAGATATTTATCATGATCGTCATCATAATTATCCTAATCATTATCATCATCATCCTCGTCATCATCATCATAATCATCATTATCATATTTGTCGTCATATTGTCTTTACATTCATCACCATCATCACCATTATGATTATTATCATCTTCGTAATCATCACATCCATGCCCAATGCTACAAGACTATTATGACCGTTCATGGTGACACATTGTTACAATCGTACAATATTTTATTTACAAGCTCATTCTAAATAAACAATACGATGCATCAATGGCATTGCTTCTGAAGAACTACAAAATGACAAATTGAAAATCTGCATAATTTCCTCTTCATAATTGATTTGATAGCATTGGACGGAAAAATAAATCAAGCTCGAATTGGCATAATGTACTACATACAATCTAAAGTTGGTACAATGCACATGTATTGCACATTAAACGAAATAACCACACTTTAGGATAATGGCAAAGAAACATCGGGTAGAAATATTGTATATTAAACAATGATGCATGTTATCATTTGAGTATGAATCCTAGATATACATGACTGGAATAATTTTAAGTATTGAAATGTTACCAGTAGAAATTAGAATAAATTCAGATTACTATATCGCATCAAACAAACCAAAACATGGAAATAAAATATTACATACAACTATCAAGGAATTCAAACAAGTTCAAAATCAATTAAATATTATTATTGCATTGCATTCAATATCGATTAATTCCATGGCAATCCAATCAGCATAATTCCCAATTTGTCTTTGTTATAACCAAAATAATCATTGACATATATATTCCATCTAGATTGCAAAACTCAATTCTGTTAGGATGGAATAATATCTATAAATTCAATATCAGAAATAAATATATCAAGGGGTGATTTGTACGCAAAGAAACACTAACACACACACCCACACGCACAATCAGTCGTACATTTTTCATTATAACCTCAAATATACATGTACATTCTAATATAGAATCAGTTATCCTTTTTATTATTTATCTAATTTCTATTTTTTTTTTCAGTGGTAGGTCTAAATCGTTTGAAAATACTCAGTTCAAAAAGATCATGCAAAGTTATCTTAAAATTCTAGACTTTTGAAATGGTAATGAAAGACTTATTCATTGCTTTAAAAAAATGCGGTGTGTGTATGTGGGTGTTGATATGAAGAAGTAGATTCTTACAAATAAAACGACGCCCCTTCATCTCAAATACAATCACACACAAATAAAATAATGTTTCTAGGGTAAAATCATTGCAGCTTTAATACATACTGTACATCTTATCGCTCTATATACTGGCTCTGGTATTTAGCCGTTTGTTTTTAATATATCAGTCGGCCAGTAGAGTAAATTAAATGAACATAAGACCAACATTTAGAAATATTTCACTTTTCATGACTCTCTTTATCTAAATATGTCTTTAAAATATGAAGAGAGCTTTAATTAGTGTCCTGATATGGAAAGATAATCTTTGTATCCCCTCTGTATACGTGATAAGGTTGAAATATTATTATGGTTTGTATACCAATAAACCCTTCATGGAAATCAAAGGCTTTAAAATAATATATGTTATCGTCTCCGTCTTTTTCCCTTTCATATTCAGTGTCCTTTATTATTAGTGTCCTATTCTTAATTCCTATTTACATCAACAAGTATACAGACTATACGTGGCAGCATATTATGTATTAGCGGTGCTCATAATGGACATCACGCATTGCTCTATCACGAACTGTTGATGATTTACTGAATGTCCTGATGGGAGGGATGGACATCCGCTCAACTGGGATGTTCCTTGCCATGTTCGTCGATGCTTCCTCGCGCATATCCACATGCTCGTCGATTCTGTCAATGATCACAAGAAAAGAAAAAAATAGTAATGGATGATAATAATAATAATAATAATCTGGATTTATATAGCGCTTAATACGAAATACCGTCTCTAATCGATAAACAGATATCATAAACCCGGTCATCAGATTCATTCACGCACGAAATATGCACCATCTCCACTCCCTGGGGAGTATTCCTATTCCATATGGTCACCATGAGGGCATAAGCAATTAAACACAGCTGTTGTCGTCATCCTACCGGTTCCCCATTTCACTCCTGGGTATTGAGTGGCAAATGTAGATTAATGTCTTGTCGTGTCGGGGATCGAGCCACGACCTTTGAATTTCAAGTCAAGTGCTTAAACCACTCGACGACTACGACACTTCTACTGGGGCCCTGCATATAATACACTTCATGAATGTTTTAGATCATGGGTGTAAAAGCACATTTTTTGCGAGGGTTGGGGGGGGGGGGGGCTGACACACAAATGACCGAAACTACGTACATTATTATAGGGCACTTCCTGGCCGAATGTAAAAACTATCCGGGCACCTCACTGCCCGACTATAAGCCGGGGGGGGGGGGGGAGGCTGCAGGCCTCCGCCTCGTACTTAAATGGTTCTGATTCCAGACAGGGGTAATGTCATGCCACCAATGCTTTGTTAGAAACTGTGTATTGGTATATGGCTTTATTAACGGAACTTCCCAGTACGGCTCAAGGTGGGTCTCAGTAATACCATGACGGTATCATTCCGCCTGCAGTCATTTTAGACACAATAATTTTGGAAAATAACGCACGTGTTTAAACAATTTTGCATGATAAAACCAAACAAAACGAGTGATATCAACTACATTATTAGGATCAAAGGGGCTGACACCACCACCCCAACATTAAGAGCATTATTAAAAAAAAATAATAATTAAGAGTTGTTCTGTGGAAGGGACGCTTCACAGCATTGTGATGATCATGGAGATTTAATACTACTGTGATATTAAACGCAATATTAATTGATATTAACAATGAGGTTAATAAGTGCATTGAAAATGTTAACACAGTCCACAAAAACACGAGAAAGAGCTCAAGTCTAATAGAAGAAAAAAAAAAAAACGATTGCTTTTTAACTGCAAATACAGATATTGAATGGTAAATATCTTACCTTTTGCAACACACGCATGCGTATTTGATGTTATTTCATATTCATAGTAAAAGTTCATGCTAAAATCATAATACAGACATAGATATTTTTGAAAGAGAGAGAGAGAGAGAGAGGGGGGGGGGCGATGTGCCCAACAGAAAAGAGAGGATATAATTGCAAGAACAGAGAGAGAACTAGACAAACAGAGAGGGGGTAATAGAGAGAAGAAAGAGAGAGAAAGAGAGAGAGAGGGAGAGAGAGAGAGAGAGAGAGAGAGAGAGAGAGAGAGTGGAAGGGGGAGAGAGAGAGAGAGGGGGGGGGAGCGGGGATGAAAGACTTACATGGTTTTTACACCTGGACACGGTTAAAGTTGGGTAGAGTGAACTGGGTCTGCCTTTAACTTTTTTGTTTTTGTCCAGAGGTATATTGTTGGCGTCCTCACAAAACACATCTCCCATCGTATCAGAGAGTTGACATCACAAAGTTCGTCGAATCAACGTTTGAAATGTTTTATGGCAATATCGATGGAAAGTATGTCCATAGATCGAACCCTCCCCCCTCCCGGGTCATTTTGATTAACTTGCTATTATGAGAAGGCATGATGGCTCGGTTAGCGTAGAGCAGTGGTCTTGTAACCGGGAGGTTCAGGGTTCAGAATCGAAACCAAGTCGATGGGATCATGCGCCAGTGCCATTATGTTAAAGCATTAATCCTCATTACCAAGTCTCTCCTAATGCTTGTACTATTTGTAGAGGACTTCACAAGAAAGCGTCAATGGCGAGGCGTACATGCCAGTAGATCGTACAACTATACATCCGTAGAATGGATGTATAGTTTTGACCAATCAGAACACAGGAAACTATACAACTATACATTCATCGAAGCACTGATGAGAAGGAAGAAAGTGCACTTATGAGAAAGACAACCTGTCGAGCCTTAGACTTTTTGGATTGGTCCCTATTCTTCTTCTTTGTATAAATTCATTTAATGTACATTATATTTTATCTCTTAAGTGCTTTAGTAAATAATTTAGTATTTGTATATTTTATTTTAAAACTGGAGAATGAATAAAGACTGAACTGAAAAAGAAATACCTGGATTCATTGCGTTAAAGGTAAAGACCAGTTATGGTCATGCGATTGCATTGTGAAAGAGACGTTGTGGAATCGATCAGAAAAGGTTGATCATCTAGCATCTAGCATCTGCAAGGTTCTGGAATCATCAAAATGATAAGAAATTTGGCCCATTCTTCGTAAAGTTACAAGCACTATACACAAAAAGATGTATATGGGACTACCCTATATCTCTCACAGACCATGAGAGAAACAAATTTACCAAATATATGAAATAGTAGGCTGTTTCCCGGCAAATTTGTTATCATCATGTATTAGTCAAAACATATTCTTTCACATGATTAGTAATGAGAGCTTCCATTTCATTTTTTGAAATTGGGGCGTTTCCAATACTGGTCTTTACCTTGAAACTTGATATGGATGCATCCGATAAAATATCATGTTATTAAAATGCCAAGAACCTATTAACTACATCATCTACAATATCTAATCCCAATTCTGTTATGAGATTTGCGCTGCATCGTCAACCACTATCACGAACATCTTTTGGACAAATCTGTACTGTTTTTTTGTTTGAGGAGGGGGAGGCATATTTTCGAGATGTATATAGTTATATATTGTTAATTAATGTTTGTTTATACAAAGTCACGAGTGTTTGAACGGTACAAAATGTTATTTCTCTTTCTGTTCAAAACGTCAGAGATTGCGCTAAAAATCATTGACAGTTTATATAATTCAAAGACTTTTATTAAATTTTCATGTACAACATTTGATCATCTATACTTCTGAAGTCATATACTTTTTAAGTATTAACAACTTTATTAGATCAAATATTAAATATAAATATATACTAATGTGGTCCATTTTAACTTACACATATATGAAAGTCTCCATAAAACTTGTCAATGAGTTGTTTAAACATTTCAAAGAAACATACAATAACATTTACATAACAATAACAAATAACATGTACAATACTTGCAAATTAAATATGATCAACATGTTCATATAATTACCAATTACCATACCAATTAGTTCAAATGAATCTACCTTGTCTCACTCATATATGAATTTAATAGGTTCTAGTTTAGACTGTCAGAATATATGATATAACAATATAGCTTGGACGTCCGTTCGTGTCTCCTTAGATCAAGATTAATGTAATCTTGATCTTCGGAGTAGTTGCTACAACCGGCCGTGTCAGACACGTTGCCCTGGGGTGCGAGATAGGACTCTTGTAGCGTGCCCCCATTTAAAATTTAATTAATAGTATGAAACTATTAAAATTACTCTCATGTTACGGGTAAAAATATTGCATATATATTATGAATCAATTGATTTGGTCGATCCAGTTCGATGGCACAAACATGTACGGCACTACTGGACAGAGATCCTAATAATTACAGAGCTTGGTCTTGTTGCTCTGTTCGCCAGATAGCTTGGACAGTATATCATGATTCAAAATGTTTAACAATGATATAGATTCTAATAAATGCTGTCTATTGTGTCTCCAAATAATATTATTAAAGATCCCGAGAAATCCTACAAATGTTGCTTGACATATGGACATACAGTACTATAATAATATAAATAGTGTTTACAGTATATAGCTATGGCAACAAAGTAGTTAAAGGGAAGACAATCTTGATAGAAAATTACAATGTACTTTAAAAGGAAAGCAAGAAAAAGTAGGCAGTAGCCTGGAGAAAATTTGAATGAAATATGAAACAAAATGAGAAGGTTATAAAGTTTTGAAAGTTGTAATCACTATAGGTATGGGCTCTTCAAATTGGCTGAATCGGTAATGTCTCTGTGATGTAGTGGTGGACAACTTCCCATTTATCCCAACACACAAAACAATTTTTTTTTTTTTTAATGTATGACTCAGGAGCATCTTTTCTCTTTAGAGAACCTATAATAACATGCTATCCATAATATTTTTCGAGTAGTGCCCTAGGGTTGAAGGCACATGTAGGACAAAAACAGAAATTAATTATATATTGTACGCTACAAATAGGAGAGTTATCTGCGACTTTGCCACAATCCACTGACAAAACTACCAATTTGAAATTCGTATAGACTTAGCGATATCATATTCCAAACTTTCATAACTTTCTTATTATTGGTCTGATATATTTCAAACTTTTGCCATTCTTGTTTGTCTTATTTCGTGCTTTCATGCAAATGAACTTATCACAAGGGCGGGATTGCCCTTCAATAATGTACATGGACATGGGATTAAAGTTGAAAATATCATGATGCAGCAAATTTACAGATGATATGATTACATGTGTCTTACTAACTTAACAAATATGATTGAATCTACAAAATTTACTTGTATTATCTCTACCACAATAGAATGCTGTGAATTCAAAGATACATGAGAGTATAGAAATGTGAATGAATAACATTGGTGTCATGAGATATTAACTTGGTATATGATGAGTAATTACTGTTTTCCTATTTCTTTAAAAGGTTTATGAGTATCAAAACTGTTAATTCAACAAATCATGCTCAGGATATCTGAAAGCCCACATGTACATTACATTACATTACGCACTTGTACATGTATCTACTGAATATAATAAGTACTGCCTTCCTGTAGGGCGGGTACATGTACGTACCTTGATTACAATCTTAAAAGATCAGCAAACAAAAAAGACTTGTCAAACTACCTTACTTCTTGAAAGTTATCATTTGATGCATCAAGATTATTGAAAAACCTACTTCTATAACTTTAATCTTATGAGTTCATCGTCTCACATGGTACATTGATGGTTCCAAAAACTTCCATAAATACAAATAATGACTATAAAAATTCACTATAGATTACAAACAGACATTAAAACATACCAGTAAGTCCATAATAACATATCTGAATAGGCACTAATTACAATCCTACAATACTACATGTTCATCTTCATGTATATAGGAATTCATCAAAAATCAAAGTGAAGTGTTAACGAACAGGCAAATGATGTTCAATGACAACACAAAACTATGCAGATATGATTACTGAGGTACAGTACATGTAAATATATACAAAGAGAATATTTCAGTATGAAAAGAGATAAATTAGTTTCCATCACAACAAAGAAATCCACACAATGCAAGAAAATTACAGCTGTATCCATATTCACTGCTCATTTCATTCTCTTGACTTGTTGAGAATACATCTTCTTTCAAAGTTGAAGAGTTTTCATGTGACCAAACACTAGCAGTTATATTATGAATACATCTGTAAACACACTATCAATGATGAGGACCAGGGACTCCAAATGTTACAGGTAGCAGTGGTTAGATTTACTCATACTTGTATGATCATACTGTAAAAGTAGAAATATTTGTGGTACATTAATTTTTGCAGATTCCGCGCTAAGATCAACAAGCACAAATTTTAGAACTCACAAAAATACAAGCATGATTTCTGATGCATGTTTTGAACGGCCTGAATTGTGTGCAATGTAAATTTAAGAACCTGCAAATATGTTTTGGGGTCGCTCGGCCTGAAAAAATTAATCACGCGATAATAACAGCGTTTACAGTACTCATTTATGTAAGAGTAATTACTTGCTGACTTTCTTAAAATATGACCATTATCACATTCCTTAAAACTGAAAATGACACAAGAGCCAGTTTCGTATTTTGAGCAGGCATAACGACGGTTTAAATGCAGGCTTGAAAGTCTTACAAGGTGGTTGGTATTCAATCAAACGCACTGCTAATCTGTACAAATGAGCCCTTAAATCAGCCAAGTAATTAATACATGAAGAGAAATGAGGGTTAAATATATAATGGCCCAAGATGTGCAATAGATTCAAACTGTGCAATGTGCGCCCTCATCACTTCAAACCGTCACACTAACTTACAATGCGCTATCCTGGTGATACATCTCTTGAGCGGAACGGGGAATCAAGAACTCATTCACACGGCCGACTGTTCCTGTTCTGTCCTTGTAGTGTTCCCTCTGTTCCTGAGCAAGCTAAATGCAGAGAGAACAGTCTGATTAATAATACTATTCAAGGGGTCTTGTATCAAAGGCATTACAAAAAACTGCATGTTGCATTGATAGCCCAACTGGTTGTAATTTTTAGAAATAAAATGCAATGTACATTTGTACTTCCACAAAGATAGAACATTCATCTGGCTGCACAAGTGTTTTGAACCTGCTGCAGTTGTCTTATTTGGGACTTGGGAGTGTTGATATTTTGTAATTTTCATTTAAATGTTCTTCAAAAAGAACTCCTGATTTCTAACACTGAGTGATAGTTTTATGACGGAACCCATTTAGAAGTGCCAATACTGAGTAAGCAACAATTTAGTTTTGCTGTCATTTAGCAGCATGAGTTTTATTTTGAAGCATCCATCCACAAAAATAATTAAAACTGGCAAGCATTAATTGATCGACATCTTTAAAGGTCTGAATACATTTAATAGGAGAAAACAATTGGATAAGTCTTTATATTACCATACATGTACATACCTTATCAAAATGGTTAATATCTTCTTTCCTGTCATGATTAACGTTGCTGAGGGAATATTGTGGTGTTGTTCTGAATCTCTCCCTAGTCCTATCCCTAGCTCCAATCACTTGGTCTGGGTTGTGTGTGTAGACTGTTGGGAACTGGCCTCCATTAGAATAGTTGGTCTTGCTGTTGTTCAGGGTTGTGGATCGATAGTCTTGCAGACATTTAGCAGTGGCATTTCCATACGTTTCCCCATAGTCAAACTTCATTGTAGGGCAGTGGCCTTTATATCTGAAAAATTGGAACAGCTGTTAATGACTTTGTATTCATGCAGATTTGGGGCTCAGTTATTAATTATTCTAAAATAGATGGTATGAAATATCTGCAAAGATTAATGCAAATCTGTTTGATAAGTCTCTAGATCTAGTACGGAGTACTAGATCATCCACAACACAAGTCACAAGTTCCAACTTATTTTGATAACTAAAAATAAAATTGTAAAATCATTTTGTTTGGTAAATCTAAAAAAATAAAGATCTGTCATCTAGATCGACATGTACATGTAAATTCTATAATGAAAACGTGTATGCATTTATCTAATATTAAGATAAACAATGTTAAAGAATACATACATTTCATTGAAAATCATAAATAGACCTAGGCCAATTATTGTTTGCATTGCATTGGCATTGCAGCTGCAGCATTGAGTTGACATTCACTTACCCTGGCATTAATCTGGGAGGGATATATGTTGCCTGGTGAGTAGTTTGAAGAGTTCCTGCGCTTCGAGACATCTTTATTTCTTTAGTTTCACCGATAATGAAAGAGAAAATAAATGTGCAGAATATCTTATCTTAATTGTAGCCTTAACAATAAAATGCCAATGGCAGCTGTTACTCGATGAGCTTGTTGTATTCGCTCTGCTTCTGGCACATGTGATGGTTATGTTGACAAGCCCATTTTACTTTGTGTACGTACAGCGGTACGGTAGCTATGGAGAACCCGGAAGTAACAGCTAGTCTTTTATTTGAGAAGAATACAGTATACTATAATTTTTTCAGACTTAATAACTGTTTATAGATACCAATAGAACACATATTTCTATGCAATACTAATATTGAGTCATAAATTTCTTATAAATATCTAGTTGAGTAGATTTTCATATGTTTTAATCCAAAAATATCTTAAATCTATTAATCCAAAAATTAAGTTGGGCTTTGAAAAAAACTGTTCTCGTGTAGCAACTGTTGTTATGTCAATATCTGACAATTATACAGCAGTAGCTGGCGCTACATCACAACATAAAATTCGTGAGCGATAATAATCCTTAAAAAATTGGATCATGGCATCCAAAAAGGGTAGCAAAAAAGGCTCGAAAAAGTCGGTAAAGGATGTAGAAGAAGCAACTCCACCGGTGGAAGATAAAAAAGAAGAAGCAACAGAGGAAAATTCAGATGATAAGCAGCAAGATGCATCCTCACCAGAGGAACAAGAGCCTGTTAAAGTACCAACTCCGCCTCCAGAATACGACGAGCCAACTCTGGCAGAATTAATCGTAGAACAGTGAGGGAAATGTCTCCTATTCATAATTTCAATATTCTTTTAATGTATTAGTTGTCGGAAAGTATTCATTGAGTACATTTTGTTAAAAGTTATGATGTGAGATGGATAATGGACAATATCTAACCAAAATTACCTTGCTTAACTTTAGGACCTATAAATAATTTGTAGTGGTCCCACATATCAATTTTGATGATGTGACTGTAACGTGTGAGTGTGAGTGTTCTACGTGTGAGTATGGTGGTGTGACCAAAGTTCGCTTTCTCAAAAAAATCGGTAAGATTTCGAAAATCTGATATCACCAATGGAAAGAGGATCATAAAGTTAGCCAGCAACGATTTTTTGTTGTTGGAATGGGGTGCAAAATTATGAAAATATTGACAAAAGATTGGCAAATTTTGCAGTTATTTGCGTAGACCTAGGTCTATCTATGGTATGTTCCCAAAAATTATCAACTTACCAATAAGGGTCTGGAAATCTTCATTTTGAGAGCAGATATCCTCGAAATTGTAAGTAATGAGTGGTACAAGACCAGAATCAGAGCAACAAGACCAAGCTCTGTAATTGTTAGGTTTCTCCAATGGTAGGTTTGTCCAATAATGCCGAGTTTGTGCCACAGAACTTAGTCGAACGAGTCGATTATATTAATTTTATGTTATACGTTTTTATATATCTTTTTTTAAATTTTTTTAAATTTTAAGTCTTAATATAGTTGCAACACGCATAACTTACAAAGAAATTCAAAATGAAGCAAGGCACACTAACTTTTGTGCCATCTATTTTTGTTCTAGTAGTTGTGGTATTTGCCGTCAATATTTTTGCTCAAAAGCGCGTAGGTAGAGCACAATCTATTAGTAATGTTTTCCAGTATCGAGACGTACATAGTTTTGTTGATGAACGGCCTTCTCTGGCTGTGTTAGGCGGAATTGAAAAATATGAATTAAGGACCAGCTACGTCAATTGGATGTCCACACACGGACGAAATAAGAAAAACATTTTGGAAAGAAAAGGAACAAGTATACTTCTATTGATAATTATATTAGGAGGAGATTTTGAATTAAATCCTGGACCGGTGAAGTTTCCCTGCTCTGTTTGTAATCGGCCTGTTGCAAAGAACCATCGATCTGTGCAATGTGATCGCCAAGAATGCCATAAATGTGGAGGAATAACGTCTGATGAATATAATAACATACGGATACAGTGTCCTGATAGGAGAACGGTCTGGTTCTGTAATAAATGTGAAGATATGAACATTGTTTCTAATTCTGATCTATTATCCATGGACTTACCGATCAACAACTCTTTCTCTGCACTCTCTGATATAGATACATTATCCTTTGAAAGTCTTACTTCCTCGAACGAAGACCAGTGGAACCACACAAACCCACGATCACCTAGCCCTGTCCATTCCGGACCTAGTAAGTTGTCTCATAAGACTTGTAAGACACCACTCAAAATGGACAGTAACCCTCTCCCCTCGTTGAAACTCACAAAAATAGATAATACCTGGACAATTGTTGGGAAGGATGGAAAGACTAGTAAGAGTAAAACCCCAAGTCTCATCGATGGAAATACACCTAAACCTAGGCCAGACGCCCAAAAGCAGAAAGCCCACCGAAAGGTCACCGATCACATTGGAATTCAAATTGCAATTATAAATTGTCGTAGTATAAGGGGAAAAACTGCAGGTATTACTTCACTAATTGAAACTGTGAACCCTGATATCATTATTGGAACAGAATCTTGGCTGGACCCATCAGTTAAGTCGGACGAAATTTTCACTCCTCACCTTCAAGTTTTTAGAAAGGACAGAAATTTGCATGGAGGTGGCGTGTTTATTGCCATCAATGACTCCATTCCTTGTTTTGAAAGAACTGATTTGAGTACCGACTCTGAACAAATTTGGTGTCAAGCTACCCTTCAAGGCCAGACGCTACAGATAGGAAGTTTTTATCGCCCACCTGACTCAAAAGTCGCACCTCTCCAGGACCTGGACTCACAACTTTCTAAAATAAACTCTTCGTTGCGCTCCCCACTCATCATCCTTGGCGGCGGTTTCAACGTCCCGGGTGTAGACTGGTCAGACGGAACACAAAGTGAACCTAAAGGTGCCCTCCAGGATGCCCTAGCTCAAGTTCTTATTAATAATCATTTGTCTCAAAAAGTCCCCTTTCCTACTAGACGTGACGAGACAAATGGTACAGAAAACACCCTTGACCTGTTGTTAACTTCACATCCAGACTTAATTTCTGAAGTCTCCTCTCGTACTGGAATTAGCGATCATCTTGTCATCCTAGCAAAACTTCATACTAAGACCACGGTTCCTCCAAAACCACCCCGCAGAATTCCCCTTTGGAATAAAGTAGATAAAGAAGAATTCAAAGTCCGGGCAAGACAGCTTGGTGAAAATTTCTTCAAGCTTCAACCAGGCACTAGATCCGTAGAAGAAAACTGGACCCAGTTAAGAGACACATTAGAAATTATTGTAACAAATGATGTTCCCCACAAGACTGTAAAGGGCCGAGCACGTACTCCATGGTTTACATGGAAATTAAAACGCCTATGTAACAAAAAGGAGAAGCTATATATTCAAGCCAAGAGAAGTGGTGCACAACGTGATTGGGACAAATTCACCAAAACAAGAAAGCAGATCGATCGTACCATTAGAAACGCCCACAGACAACATGTCTCTTCAATCCTTGAGGGTAACAAACCGAAGGCCTTCTGGAGGTACGTCAAATCAAGACGGACAGACAACACCGGTGTCCAGATGCTTAAGGTAGAAGGCAACCTAATCTCCGAAGATCTGGAGAAAGCTGAAGCTCTCGCCAACCAATTCCAAAGTGTATTTACCCGTGAAGACAAGTCACTGTCATCGCTCCCTGACCTTCCACCCAGCCCTTTTCCTGATATGCCTCCCATCCGGGTTGACGTTGAAGGTGTAAAGAAGTTACTACTTAACATCAATGTAACGAAGGCTATCGGCCCGGACCAGATCCAGAACCAAGCTCTCAAAATTGCAGCAGAAGAACTAGCTCCCATCTTGCAGTTCATCTTCCAACAGTCGCTCGATTCTGGTGGTCTCCCACTGGAAAGGCCAATATCACTCCACTTTTTAAGAAGGGCTCTACCACCGACCCAGCAAATTACCGCCCTATTTCACTAACGAGTACCTGTTGTAAACTTTTGGAACATATTATTGATAGTAACCTCATGAGCCACCTTAGCGAACTAAATATTCTTGCAGAAAATCAGCACGCCTTTAGGAGATGCAGATCATGTGAATCTCAACTTATTTTGACAATTAATGACCTGGTCAAAGAACCTGGATGAAAAAGCCACCACAGATTTGATAACACTTGACTTCTCTAAAGCCTTTGATGTCATCCCCCACCTGAAATTACTTCACAAGCTAGATTATTATGGAATCGGTTCAGATAACTTAAGATGGGTGACAAATTTCCTTCCAAAACGACTACAACGCGTATGTGTTAACGGAAAACATTCCGACTGGAAGCCAGTTCTAAGTGGAACCTCACAAGGAACTGTGCTCGGTCCCCACTTGTTCTTGCTCTTCATAAATGACATTCACAACAAAGTCAAAAGCACCACTAAGCTTTTTGCAGACGATTGCATGCTGTACCGTCCAATTAAATCAGTAAACGACGTGGACATCCTGCAACAAGACCTAGATGCAATGGTGGAGTGGTCTCAGAAATGGGGCATGAAATTCAACCCAAAAAAGTGTGAATCAATGCGTGTCACCAGGAAGAAGAAACCGGGTAAATCTTCATACAACCTCCTTGGTGTCACCCTGGAAGAATGTAAGCAGACAAAGTACCTTGGTGTTGTGATCTAGAACGACCTCCGATGGAATGGCCAAACTCACCTCGCAACAACAAAAGCTATAGGAGTATTGAGTTTTCTGAGACGCAATTTTCATCACTGCTCAACTTCCATAAAGGAGAAACTCTACCTCACCCTCGTTAGACCACACTTAGATTACGCAGTTGGTGCTTGGGACCCATACACAGCTAAGAACATTTCTTCTATCGAACGAGTCCAGAGGCAGGCAGCCCGTTTTGTCACAAGCACATATCAGAGAGAAGCAAGCGTCACCCTCCTTCTAAATTCTCTTATATGGAACTCTCTCAGATGCGAAGCTCACCATCTAAGCTGTTTCCACAAAATGGCCAGCTGGACATAGATGCCCAAACACACATTAAACCTAAACCAGATCGTAGCAGACGCGGGCACTCAAGTCAGTTCGAAATACCATTAACCAGATTAAAGGAAAAAAACTCTTTTTTCCACGTACAACCAGAGCATGGAATGATCTCGATTCGACATTAGTATCCCTGACTGACTCAGCAAAGTTTAAAGTAGCACTCCTTCCAAAATAAGTCCACCCTCTGCGAACAACCTCCAGTTTAAATTCCACTAGGAATCTTTTGGAGGAACAACAACCAAGTACCAAGTACCGACTGGCTGTATGATATTTTGCCTTGCAAATGTCGTAATACGGATAATGCAGCAATAGAGAAGTTGAGAGCAGCTTGAGTGTAGGTTGGGTGATGAGCCCATTTATTGACTAGATCAGCATATATCAGCGGTAAAAGAAAACCCCAAGGTCTCTGAAGATACAAGCCGGAGCAGTCCCAGCTAGACCACACTATAACAGCTTCCAGCAAACCTTGCTAGCATGTCATTTCTTTCAAAGGTGTAAAAAGAAACAAGGGCGTTGCACGCTAAACAGACGGCCCGACACACGCATAACCTCCTTCGCCCATGACAAGATGCAATGTGTACCTACGTATCTGCTATGTCAGGCAGATTCCAGCGCCCACATACAAAGACCTATCACAATTCTATAAACAAAATATCCTTCCTCTTTTTGCTATTCTTGTACAAACACCTTTTGAATGAAGTAAAAATTAGTTATTACACATTATATGCAATCTTATTCCTTTTTTACATAGACTCACAATATAACAATTCTTCCT